CACGGCAAAGCCTGGCAGGCTCCCCTGACGTATTCGATATGCCAAACACAGTAACAACAAAGTCTCCAATGGAGACGTTACTGGGCCCGCTCGAGCAAATCGATATCAACGGGAGGGCAGTGATACAGTGCAGCACAGTTGGATTCTGGTGTTGGGACCACCCCTGGCTCTGCATTCAGGGGTCAGCTTTTTGGGGGGTCACACCTGGTCATCTCAGGGGTTACCCCTGGCTCTGCATTCAGGAAATACACCTGGTGGTGCTTGGGGGACCCTATGGGATGCCGGGGATTGAACCCAGGTTGGCCGCATGCAAGGCAGATGCCTCCCCGCTGTGGTATCGCTCCAGCCCTGGACCTACCCCTTTTCAGATGCCCCCAGGGCCAACCTGCTGGGCCCCTCCTTCTCCCACTGCCCCTTCTCCTGCCCACCCTCCTTCTGGGGACTCATCCCCTTCCAGGAACTGTGGCTGGTCCTGCGAAGGGCGTGTCACTGCTGGAGCTGGTGCCCAGAGGCATCAGACCCCAGAGGAAGTCCAGCTCCAGGTTCATGGACCTGACCCCTCCCAAGAGGCCAGTGGCTGCAGCCAAGGCCCCTCCCTGAAGAATCAGACGTGGCCGGATCCTGAGCAAAGGTCTGAGCTCTCCAGAGCCTGCACCCAGCCACACCCACCTGCACCATAGGACTTTGTGTGTGTTCAGAACATGTGTGTGGTAATAGCTGGGAATGGCCGTGCTGGACAGGATCTGAGGTTGAAAAGTAGATAAAGGGAAATTCTGGATGACCTCTCAGCATCAATATTGCAAACCGCAATGCCCAAAGGAGAGAGAGACAGAGACAGAGACAGAGAGACAGAGAGACAGAGAGAGAGAAGAAAAGTGCTTGCATAGAGGCAGGCAGGGGGTGGGAGTGGGGGTGATGGGAGGAAACCTGGGGACACTGGTGCTGGGAAATGTGCCCTGGTGGAGGGACGGGTGTTGGGACCCTGTATGACTGAAACCCAATCATGAACAGCTTTGTAAGCATCTATCTCACAGTGATTCAATTAAAGAAATTTCATAATGGGGCCAGAGCGATAGTACAGGGGTAGGGTGTTTGCCTTGCACACAGCTGACCGGGGTTCCGTCCTCGGTATCCCATAGGGTCCCCCGAGCATCACCAGCAGTAATTCCTGAGCACAGAGCCAGGCGTAACCCCTGAGCATCGCTGGGTGTGACCCAAAAAGAAAAAAAAAGTTCATAAAAAAACGCGTGTGGGTGTGCTCGCCGTGCATGTTCGGTGGTCAGGCCACCTTCCCACCCCGGATGGCCAATGACCATGGACGAAAGGAGGAAACGAGGGCCAGGCTGGCGGGTGATCACCTAAAGCATATTCCAGTCCGTCCACTCCCTCTGCCTCCTTCCGGCCTGAGTCGCTACCTGTACCCCGCCCGACTCTCACAGCCTTTACCACAGCTGAACGATCTCCAAGGGCTAAGATAGCAACCGCACACAGGTGAGCTGGCACAGTCAACGCACGCCCATGAAGCCCTTCCTTCCCGGAAGCTCTTCTAAGACAAAGACCTCCTCCCGCTAGGAGGTCTGCTCAGGGGAAGAATCTCAACTAAGAGCGTATTTCTCCTTTCCTTAGTCCGTAACCATTTAAACCATCAAACTGACTTCTTCAGTTTACTTCTGAATAATCTTTCTAGTCATTCTGTATGGACACAGTAAGAGATATATTAGTCTTATTGGGTGGCTCTCCTGGGGACATCTCCTGTAGATCCCAGGCCACAGTCCTCAGGCCAGATTAGTCCTTCCTAATCCATGCAGGGTCCTTGTCCAGTCACTTCTCCTTGGGTGATGGCACAATTCACCCACAACCATGCCCTTAACTTATTGTAAGTTTTGTGACAGTTGGCCTGCCCCATTTCAAAGCCAGGGTAGCCTGCCGCTTGCCTGGGTCTATCCGGTCCCTTCCTTGGGACCATGCTTCTGGGGTGCTAGGAACTAAGGGAAACTGAGGCTTAAGTCGAGTAAATGTGACAGATGCCCAGGAGTAAATATTATTCCAGGTCAATTAACTCCCAAGTTATCAAAGCGTAGCATTAACTGTCTTCCTGTGTCCATACAACAAGGACATTGCTCCAAAGAAAACTACGCAAAGGACATAAGAGAAAGAGCGAAGCAACAGTTCACGTTCAAATACGAATCCGGAGATCTCTGAAGAAGCTGACCTTGCCAGTCACAGATTCTGATTGGGGGGAAGAGCGACTAACGGGTAGGGACGCAGAGCACAACGGAGACATTGAAGATCGATCCCGAGGAAAGGGGGTTGCTGCGGGAGCACTGTGATGGGCGCAGCTACTCAGCCTACCTGAGCTCCCTGCGGAGGAGGAAGGACAGGCCAGTGCTGCCCCACGGGGCCCGACTCAAGGGGCTCTGGACAGGCGGGCCAGCCAGGCCCTCCCCTCCCTGGGTGTGTGCGGCGGCTCCTGACGGGGGGCGTGAGGAGCCCCACTCAGAGGCTCGTCCTAGGTGCAGTGAGCTGGTGTGGCCCCGTCTCTGCGCCCCCACCAACCCAGGCACCTTCTGGCCCACCGTGGGGTCTGCCGTCCCTCCGGCCTGGACAGTGGGTGCCCCTGGGAAACACGTCCAAACCCCCGACTCGGGAACCACGCGAGGGTCCATGCGGGGGCCCATCTCACCCGGGGGCTGGACTCTCTGGGCCCTGGGGACACACTCGGCCCGGGTGCGGCCCTGCTGGCGCTGGTCACAGCTCCGACAGCTCATATCAGACAGGTGGCCCCGGGGACACACAGTGAGGCTGAGTGCGTCTGCCTGCCACCACACAAGAGACCGAGGCACACGGACCCTGAGCCACCTGGCACGGAGCTCGCGAGTCCCTTTGCCCTGGGCAGGGACACAGAGGTGGTCCCGGAACTGGGAGAGGGGGCAGGAAGGTGAGTCACACTTTCCCGAAGGAACACTCCCAGCGTCTCGCCTGGGCGCTCGTGGGCCAGGGCGGATGCAGAGCAGTGGGCAAGGGCCCCCTGCTGACCACCCTGCTCTGAGGGACACAGGCCTGGGGCCGACACGCCCACGGGGTGTCCTGGAGGAGCACCCAGCACTGGCAGAGGGACGGGGGAGGGACAGACAGACAGGGCGGGGAGGCCAGCGCCCCCCTCGCTCTGAATCACTGAGGAAGGCCCTGAGCCGGTGGGGCGTGTTCTGTCTGCACGGGGAGGGAGGCCGGTCCAGCTGATGGGACAGGGAGGATGGATACACCTGGCCCGGAGCTGCCGTCACACCCGCAAAGGGGCAAAGGGCAGGGGCAGTGACAGCACAGCAGGTGACCGGGGCGGGCGCTCCTGAAATCTGCCCTGTGCCCCTCCCCCAAAAGGCCCCGGAGCAGCTCCCCTGGGCAAGTGGGTCCTGCTGCGAGAGCAGGGCCAGGGCTCCAAGTGACCCCCGTGGCCCCACGTGCCGTGTGCGGTCTGGGCAGCTCGGAGGCCCCAATGAGCCCATGCAGCAAGAGTGACCCTGCAACAGCCCGAGCCCAGGGCCGGGGCGTCCGATGCAGGTCACCACAGCCTGAAGGGAAGGGAGAGTCGAAAAGGAGCGAGGCTGGCCACATGCCAGCAGGGGTCTGACGTGGTCCGATGGGAGGGGAGGAGGAGACAGAGCAGCCGAGGGACCGGCAGGGACGGGTTCTGCTCCTCCATCGCCCCTCCCCCTCCCCACAGGTGCCAGGTGGCGTTCTGTGGCCCCGAGTTCAACAGAGGCAAGTCAAGTAGGGACCCCACCTGCAGCCTGTGACCCCAAGCTGGGGGGGTGCACGGGTGGCCACTGTGTGACCCCTCATCAGCATGACAACCGCAAAGGGAAATGCAAACAAGACAGCTGGTTCTTGACTTGAATGTGCTACTGCCTGGCAGAAAGCTGCTTTTGCCTGATAACCTGAGCAGGAAACCCAGGAATTTCCCAGTCAGCTGCATGTCGATGCAGTCACACATGACCGAAGGCCAGTGTGTGGGAAGTGACAGGCTGTCAAGGTTTTTTTTTTGGGGGGGGTCACACTCAGCGATGCTCAAGGGTTCCTCCTGGCTCTGCACTCAGGAATCCCTCCTGGCGGTGCTTGGGAGACCAGATGGGATGTGGGAATCAAACCTGGGTCGGCTGTGTGCAAGGCAAACGCCCTCCCTGCTGTGCTATGGCTCCAGGCTGTCAAGTTTTTAAGGAGGGGCAGAAGCAGCCCAACACCAGAGCAGAAACACTGGAGAAACTTTACAGTTAAGTTAGCAAGTCACAGGAAACAAGTTAGGGTGGGGTGTGCAGGATGGAGGATGGAGGATGGATGGATGACGGGTGGGTGGGAGGCACAGAACGGAGCCTGGAAACAGACTCCCATCAATAAGGTCAACTGACCTTTGAGACAGGCAGAAAACGAAACAGACAAAAATCCCAGTGTGGTGAGGCAAGTGGGTATCTGCACAGAGAGGGCGGCCGTGCGGGGCGCATACACGCCTCTCCCGGGAGCTCTGCGACGCGTCAGCACCCGCTGCCCCAACAGGGCCCGCCCAGCCGAGTCCTGGGGCGGGGAAGGGGCACCAGCGCGACCAACCCCCCCGCCCCCCCCCCCACTCTGCTTCCAGCTCAGGTATGCTTGTGGCTAGCAGGCACAGAGGGCGAGGCCTGAGTCGGGGTAACTGCCCATGTCTCTGCAGACCCCTAAACGGGACCATGCTGGGCAGGGGCCAGTCAGCAGGGCCAAGGGCTCTCCCGAGGGTCTTGTCTCAGGGCAGGTGCTGAGCTCAGAGACAGACACAAACTATGGGGACTGGAGCAATAGCACAGCGGGGAGGGTGTTTGCTTGCATGCAGCCGACCAAGGTTCGATTCCCAGCATCCCATATGGTCCCCCAAGCACCGCCAGGAGGGATTCCTGAGTGCACGAACCAGGTGTAAGTTCTGTGCATCGCCGGGTGTGACCCAAAAGGAAAAAAAAGAAAGAAAAACAGACACAAACTATGAAAATGCTTTTATTTTAAATCAAAGTACCAAGCAGATACTTGCAAAACAACGTACAAAGTGGACTCAGAGGCACCCGCTGGGACCCGCACCCAGAGCTTCGGTCCCTCTGTCCCTTCTCCGGCCGGGCCTCCCTGCGGCTCGGCCCGCCAGCGCAGAGACCCCAGTCCCCATGAGGCTCGTCCTGGGCGGCCGCCGCTACCCGGAGCAGTCCCTGCTGAGGCAGCTGGACACACTGTGGTCACCCTAGTCGCGGTAACAGGCCCCGGACTCAGTAAAAATGAGTTAAAACGAGGACAGACACCAACAGGAGATCACACGGAACCAGCCAACAACAACATAACAGGAAGAAGCGGGACCCTCGCAGCCGCCCGCCGGGCCTGGGCACTTGAGGGAAGGGCAGCCGGGGGCGGGTGTGCTCCAGGCCTGGCGGGCGGGGACGGTGGGCTCTGGGGCTGCCCGTGGACGGCACAGAGAAGCGCCTTCAGCCTCGGAGCCGCAGTGGGATGGGACGGAGCTTCATGCCTGCTGGGGCAGCCCCGGAGCCTGCCGGCCGGACGCGGGAGAGCTCGGACCAAACCCTCGCCGAGCCAGCAGGCCCGGCTCTGCCCGGCTCAAGTCCTGGGACCCGCCACCTCCGCGCCCGCAGCGGCCGGCGGCGTCCGTGCCAGAAAGGACCTGCGTGCACTGCACTAACCCTACAGAAAACTGTGGGAAGAAACCAAATCCATAGGATCCACGCGATTCCGCACTCGGGGACGGGCCCCAAGGCAGGTGTCACCGACGACCCCCGCGGCTCAGGCCACTCGGGGCCGTGTGTAAACAGTGTTAATAAGCAACAGGTGGAAACTGCGTTTCCCGAGACGGGGGACGCCCGGCGCCGGCGGGCAGCCCGCTCCGGCCGTCCCCTCCGTCCCCTCCGTCCGGCCGCCGGCGTCCTCTTTGGTTCAGCGCGGCCGCCGCCGCCGGCTACTTGGGCTCGGGGCCCTCGGCCACGGCGGCCACCTCGAGCGCGGCCGCGTGCTCCTCGGGCCCCGCGGCCCCCGCGCCGTCCACGGCGGGCAGCAGCAGCGCGCCGGCGCCCGGGGACAGCTGCGTCACGTTCTGCAGCGCGGGGCCCAGGCCGGGCAGCGTCAGCAGCTGCAGCGGGCTGACCACCTTGACCACCGTGCCGCCGTCCTGCACGGCGGCCGTGCTCAGCACCGTCAGGCTCGAGGCGTCGGGGTGCAGCTCCACGGCGCCCGGGAAGGCGGCGCCCGGCGAGGCCAGCACCGTGTAGCCGCCCAGCAGCGGCGAGGCGGGCGCGGCGGGCGCGGCGGGCGCGGGGCCCTTGCCCAGCACGGGCGCCGGCAGCGTGGACAGCACCTTGCCGAGCGGGACGCCGGCCAGCTGGGGCACGGGCACGGCCGGGGCCAGGCCCGAGTGCGCCAGCACCTGCGAGGCCACGGCGGCCGGCCCCGAGGCGGCCCTGGCCAGGCGCGGCCGCTTCATGGGGGGCGGCAGGGACACGGGCGTCAGCGTCATGAGCACGTTGCTCAGGTGCTGGGACTTGTGCTTGAGCTCCTTGGCGCGGCGCCGGTGCTCGTCACACTGCTGCTCCAGCGCTGCGGGGAGGGGGACGCGGGGTGCGGGGTGGGGAGAGGGGGAGCCGGGCGTCAGTAGACGAGGGGGCGCGGGGCGGGGCTTCCGCGGGAGGGTGGGAGGGGCGGGGCCTCGCCGTGGGGCGGAGCTTCAGCGGGAGGGGCGGGGCCTCGCCGTGGGGCGGAGCTTCAGCGGGAGGGGCGGGGCCGCGCCGTGGGGCGGAGCTTCCGAGGGAGGGGGTGGGGCCTCTAGTGAGGGTGGGGCTCCTCCGCGGGAGGGTGGGAGGAGCCGGGCCTCGCCGTGGGGCGAAGCTTCAGCGGGAGGGGCGGGGCCTCGCCGTGGGGCGGAGCTTCAGCGGGAGGGGCGGGGCCTCTACGGGATGGAGGGGTGGGCGGGGCCTCGCCGTGGGGTGGAGCTTCCGAGGGAGGGGGTGGGGCCTCTAGTGAGGGTGGGGCTCCTCCGCGGGAGGGCGGAGCGAGGCTTCTGCGGGAGGGGCCTTCGCAGGAGGGTGGGGCGGGGCTTCCACAGGAGCGGGCGGGGCCTCGTCGTGAGGGCGGAGCTCCAGCGGGAGGGGCGGGGCCTCTAGGGAAGCTGGGACTAGGCTTCCGCGGGAGCCTTCACAGAAGGGGCGGGGCCTCACTGTGGGGTGGGGCTTCCGCGGGAGGGTCGGGGCCTCTAGGGAGGGCGGGGCTAGGCTTCTGCGGGAGGGGCCTTGGCAGGAGGGTGGGCGGGGCTTCCACAGGAGGGGCGGGGCCTCATCATGGGGGCGGGCTTCCACAGGACCCAGGGCCTCTGCAGGAAGGTGAGGGCGGGGCTTCTGCGGGATGGGGCGGGGCCTCCGCAGGAGGGACCGGGAAGGGCCTCACTACAGGGGCCGCTGGGGTTGCGGGGCAGCCTGGCCCAGGGACAAGCACTCCTGGGTTGGAGGGCACCGGAAGGGCTAAAGGCAGCAGGCGGCTCGGCTGGGCTCGGCTGGCCTGGCGGCCCCCTGGCTCCCCCACCCGCCCCCACCCCCACCCCGCCCGCGGAGGCCTCTCGGTACCTGCCAGGTCGCGGGCGTACTGCTCCCGGGAACGATCCATCTGGCACTTGTGGCTGGCCAGGACCTTCTTCACCAGGTCCAGCATGCCGAAGTTCTGCACGATGTTGTTGAGGAGGACGGCGTCTGCGGGCGGCACACACACTGAGCCCGGAGAGGCGCGGGGCCAAGGGCGCAGGCACCGCCCCCTGCCCGGCCCTCCCCCTCACCTCTGAGCTGTAGTGGGGGGTCCTGGGCCCGCTGCTGGAGGCCTCGCATGGTCTCCACCAGCTCCTGGTGGAACTCCTGGATGACCTCATCCAGCAATCCCGCGTCCTTCAGCCCTCGCCAGAAGGCGAACGTGTCATCTGGGAAAGGAGAGGCTCAGGGGAGCTGCCCACCAAGCCCGCTGTCCCCGGGGAGGGTGGACAGCGGCAGACCAGCTCATCTGTCCGGGGCTGCATCACCCGACACCACGCCCCTCACGAGCCCCTTACCCACGCCCCATTCCACACCTCCTATAGCCGTGGTCCAGTCGCTGGGGTCCTCGCAGGTCTCTATGGTGATGGTGGCCGGGGAGCCGTTCACTAGAACCAAGGAGGAGCCGTGAGCACAGAGCCGCCTCTGCGCACAGGCCAGCCCACCCTGACACGGCCAGTCCGCCAGGGCCAGTCCCAGGACTGAACGGCCACAGGCAGGCACGGCCACGGGCAGGCAGGGACACAGGCAGGCAGAAGCGGCACGTGCACTGAGTGTTGTGTGCATGTGTACAGCAGTGAGCACGTACGCATGTAGTACATGTGCGTGTAGCGGGTCCCGTGTGCCACCGGCGCGTGTCATGTGCGTGCCGACTAAGGCAGTGCTGGGGCAGTGGGCGCTGCCTGTGTGGCCCCAGTCCCGGGACGGGCAGCACCTACTGTCGGCCGTGGCAGGGGTGAGCGGGAGGTACTCGGCGGACGTCGGGCTGCTCAGGGACACGCGGGCGCCCGAGAGGTCGATCTTGGTGCTGCGGCAGGTGTTGGAGCACACCTTGTCGTGCTGGTAGAAGTCCAGCTCCCCCGAGTCCATGATCTTCCTGAGGCGGAGCGGGAGACACTGAGCTGCTCACCTGTGGCGCCTGGTCAAGGGCGCCCTCAAGGCTCTGTCCACGGATGCACGGACACGGGACAGGCGTCTGAGAGGCCAAATCCACGATGGCTCTGCCTCGCCCTTGTGTCCTGTGCCCCGGCCCCGGGAGCAGAGCGGACACTGCGGGGCGCACACAGACAGGGCCCCAGGGAGCCTGTGCCCCCACCCGTCTGCTGGCCCCACTGCCGGCCCTTAGGATGTCACCAGGACCTTCTGTGGCCTGACCCCCTCCCTTGGTGGAAGTGCGTGATGCCACCACCCACCTATCTGCGCTGTGGACACCCCGGGGAAACCAGAGGCGGCCACGCTGCTGGCCACACTCAGGACTGGACCCTGGGCCAGCGCGAGGGACCCCCCCAGTCTTTGCGCACCCCCAGCCCTGCACAGGGCCAGGAGCAGCTCAAAGGCAGAGGGGCGTCCTGGGCAAGAGGGCCCCGATGGGCTTCAGCCAGACGGACCCTCAGGAAGGTCTTGGCCCTGGCAGTTCTCCCGGGGGGTTGAGCCCTGGAAGAAGCTGCTGGAGGAGCAGAGGGAGTCCCAGGGGCTGGACACGGGCCAAGGGTCTCACACCAAACAGGCGGACGGACAGGACGGGGGCGGGGCTGGAACATCCAGGGGGGCCAAGCAACAGGAGAGCAAGGCCAGGCGCCGAGCTGGGACAGCACCCACTCACAGCCCTCACCCCGCACCCCTCACCCTGCAACCCCCAGCCCTCAGTGTGCACCCCCCACCCTGCAGCCCACAGCCACGCCCAGCACGCAGCGGGCACTCTGGGGGTGGCTGCGAGACAGCACAGCGGGGTGGCAGGTCCTGCCCTGTCTGAGGGGGGTGCCTGCAGCCATCCCCTGCCCCGACCACGAGAGCAGAGCCGCGGCTCACCTCAGCATGATGCCGTTCATCCGGATGGCTCTCTTCCAGTCCTTCAGCGTGGACTTGCCTGCCAGGTGCACAAACTCCTTGGGGCTGATCACGTGCTCGTCGTACTAGGGAGGGGGGGGAGTCAGGAGGGCCCACCCGGGTCCCTGCAGGGCTAACAGGAGATGGCAGAGGGCCGGGCTCACCCCGTGGTCCTCCCAGAGGGCACCAGCCCCGCACCTGGAGGAGCCCTGCGTCCAACCCGGGGCCCTGGGTCACCTCTCCCAGTGCTGCATTGGACGGGCCCACAGGGACAGGCCAGGGCCACTCCCCAGGCACCTGCGTGGGCCCTCCGGCCTGCGTGTGCCCTTCCAGTCTGAGAAGAGGCAGCTCGCAGGCTGCCAGCCCTGCACGGGACCCGGGTCCTGAAGGTGCCGTGACACACTATCCAGTTGCATTCCCCTGTCTTCACTCCAGATCACTCCAGCAGTCTCAGCCCAGCAGAGCCCAGGGACCACAGCACAGTGCCCCCGCTCAGCCCTGCCAGGTCCTGGCTTCCTGCCGATGGCGCGCAGATGCCCACGCCCTGGGCCACCCACGCTCTGCCCTCCTGCAGGTCCCTGCAGGGGTGGCCACGGTGAACCTCAGGGCTCTGCTGTGAGCAGCAGACACGGCAGGGACAGTGTCTCCCTGGCCCGGGCCCTGCCACGCTGGACTGTGTAACCCCTCGGCACAGAGACAGGACCCCCCCGCAGAGCCTGTCTCCCCCTGGCCCATGGCGGCTCGGCCACTGTGGCCCTGCAGGGCGTCACGCGGAGCAGACCCCGTGGAGCCAGGCCCGGGCTGAAACGTGGTTCCCTCTGCCTGGCGGTGTGGGGCTGGTCAGGGGCAGGGCTCGTCCCCCCCAGCCTGGCCCTGGGCACTGCATCTTCACCACAGGCTCAGGGACAGCGCCTGGCCTCTGTGCCCAGCCCTTTCTCTGTCCTCCAAACCTGCCTGACTTTGCTTAGGCTCAAGCTTCTCTCCATCCTGCCTCACAGTAGCCCCCAGAAGGGCCCAGGGGCCCGTCCACTGCCACTGCCCTCAGGGGCACGTCAGGGTGGTCTCAGGATGGCTCAGAGTGCTGCAAGCCAAGCTGCACTCAGAACCATGGTCAGCAGACACGGAACCACTGGGGCACTAACCCGCAGCTCAGGGCTCAGAGCAGAGTGGCCAGCTGAGGCCTCGGGTGAGGAGGAGTGTCCTTGTCCGGACAAGGAGGCAGGGCATGATCTCAGCCTCCTCGGGAGGCCCGGGGCTGGGAAAGGGGTGGCACTGACCCATAACACGGGGGTTTCACGGGCTCGAGGACTCCCAGGAGGTGGACCTCTGAGCTGCCTGAAGCTCTCAGCCCTGGCTGGGCCTCTCCCCCACGCCAGTCCCACTGGCAGCAAGAAGAGTGCTCAAGGTCTCTGGGAACCCAGCTGCCACAGGGCCCAGAGCGCCCTGTCCCAGGGGCCAGTGTGCAGTGACCCCCCAGCTGCCCCGTCCCAGGGGCCAGTGTACAGAAAGTGACCCCCAGCTCCATGGGTGTGCAGAGTGACCCCAGGCTGCCCCGTCCTGGCTCTGCCCTCAGTGACACGCTTTCCTCTGGAGTCCACTGTCCGGGCAGGCCTCACCTGGACACACTTCACGTTGATGCCGGGGCACACGAACTTCCTCCAGATGAGGTTGGCTCTGCTGTCCCCACAGGTGATGGGGTACACGATCTCGGCCTCCAGGTTGTCCTCATCCTCAGCCATCTTCACTGCTCACGGACAGGAACGAGGCAGACAAGGACAGAGCATCAGGCCACCTGTGCTGCCCCCAGCACCCGGCCGGCCGGCCGAGTCCTCTCTCCCCAGCACGGAGGCCAGGCTACCGGCTGGGAGGGGCGGCCCCGGGACACGCTGGGGGCCCTACCTAGCACGGCCTCCTTGAGCTGCGAGGACGCGGTAAAGGCGGCGGCCGCGGCCGCGGCATTCTCAGTCTCCATGTGTTCCTCGGTGAGCTCAGCCCTGGGGAGACAGAGGACATGGCTCCAGCACACCCGGCCAGCCGGCCGGCCACGCCGCCCGGGCAGGCGCCAGCATGCTGCCTCGGTGGGTCTCCGGCCGACACCCTCCCTAGACACCACCTTAAAACATCCACTTCTGGGGCCAGAGCAAGGGCACAGCGGGGTGGGCACCTGATCTGCACGTGGCTGACCCCGGGGGGCTGGTCCCCAACACTCCCTGTGGTCCCCCAGGCTCTCCAGAAGTGATTCCTGAGTGCAGGCTAAAAGTAACCCATGAACACGGCTGGGGTAGCCTAAAAACAAAACAAAAAAACGACACCAAAAATCCACTTTATTTTGGGTTTGGGACACACCTGGCAGTGCTCAGGGCTCACTCCCGGCTCCATGCTCAGGGATCACTCCTGGTGGGCCTCATGGTACCAGCGTTAGAACCAAGTGCCTTCCTGCTACACTGTCCCTTCAACCCCATTATTCCCCACATTATCCACTTTCAAAGGAAAAAGTAAAATCACCATTTGCTCTCCAGTCTCAGCTCAGCTCATACCAAAGTAGCACCGTAGCACTGTCCTCCCACTGTTCAGCGATTTGCTCGAGCGGGCACCAGTAACGTCTCTATCGTGAGACTTGCTGTTACTGTTTTTGGCATATCGAATGCGACACAGAGAGCTCGCCAGGCTTTGCCGTGCGGGCGGGATACTCTCAGTACTCTCGGTAGCTTGCCAGGCTCTCTGAGAGGGGGGTAGAAATCAAACCCGGGTCGGCCATACCAAAGTAAACACAGAAAAATCAAGTATGAAGAAAAAGCTAAAGCTGAAAGGGTAAAACGAAGAAAAGGCCAAACTGGAATGGTTTCCGTGTGGAGAAATATTCTCTTCGATGACACGAAACTAGGAAAAAAGAGCCAGTGGCAGCAAAGGCGGAGGAAATCTGGGGTGGGAGAAGGGATGGGGAGAGGAGTGTGGGAGAGTGGGCTGGGAGGGAGGAAGAGGGAGGGAAGGACAGTGAGGGAGGGAGAGGTGGGAGGGAGGGAGGGAGGGAAGGGACAGAAGGATGAAAGGGGAGCGCGGGGAGGGGGAGGGGAGCAGGGGAAGGGATGGGAGAGCGGGGGAGGGGGAAGCAGGGGGGAGAGGGGAGGGGGGAAGGGAGCAGGGAGGGGGGGGAGCCGTGGGGGGGGGGAGTCTCTCGGTCGCCCCGGGTCCCTGCTGAGGTCTGAGGTCGGTGCCTGTGGCTGCCTCTGGGGACAGCCCTGGAGACCACATCACGGGCTGTGGGCCGAGGCGCAGCAGTTATCAGGACCGCAGGTCAGGCGCAGCTGACCCCTGAGCGCAGGCTGTCCCCCAGCTCGGCCCCTCCTCAGACCGGACCTGCCCAGGGGCCCAGCAGCACCCCTGCAGAGCACACGCTGAGCAGCTGGGAGGGAGACAGGACACGCCCACACACAGACGGACAGGCAGGTGGGCGGGAAGCGCCCAGACTCCACCCACCTCCTCTGGCGTTGCTGAGATGGGAGGGAGCCTGCCGGGTTCAGGTTCGACCCCCAGCACCACTCAGGGTTCCCAAAGCCCCACCAGGAGGAAGCGCCGAGCACCACGGGTATGGGTCAGAAACAGAGAGAAGACCCCCAGCCGACAGGATCTTACTGGCAGTAACCCGCAGGGTGACCAGGAAGAGAAAGGGTCAGCTCTGCGTTCTGGCCACTGTCTCGGGCCAGGCCCCACACATCCCCTCCCAGGGCCAGGCGCTGAAGCCCCGCCCCATGCCCGCCCAGGGGCAGAGTGGGCCCGTGGGTCACTCACCCGTGGGATGTCAGGTTGGTGGTCACCAGCACAGTCTTCACCTCCTCCACGCTGCTGCCGTCCACGGCGGTGTCGGGCGTCGTCACCACCACGACCTCCTCCATGTGGACGCTCACATCCGGAGTGGCCATAGCTCAGCTTTGGGAACACCCAGGGGCAGGACCACAAGGCCTACGGGAACAGAGGCCGTCTAGCACCCTGCGCCCACCCAGGCGCCCAGCCTGTGCCCCTCCGGGCAGCCCGTGTCACCTGCTCCCCACAGATCTGGGAGTGCCTGTCTGCCTCTGGGCCTCCCTCGAGGCCCTGCCCAGCCCTTGGGCTGCTCTGCAGAGCTTCAGACACAGGCTCTAGCTGGTCCCGATCCATGTCGGCATGCAGGGTATAAGGCCCCCCCAGCAGGGGTGGGGTGTAAGGGGCCCCCTGGAGCAGGGGTGGGGTGTGAGTGAGGCCCCCTGGAGCAGGGGCGAGAGGGTGCGGGCCCGTCTAGAGCTGTCCGTGAAGAAAGGGAATCTGGAACACACGCAGTACGCGGAGAACCAGGTGAAAGAGGGACCCGCTGTGGCGTGTCTGGGAAAGAACACAGGGTCGGGCAGGCACTAGAACAGTGGAAACACCTGGGCAGGGAACGGGAGCTGCCTCAGGCTACTCCAGCGTGGGGGCTGCAGGGGTGAGGGCCCGCTGCGGGGGAGAGGGGGTGCAGCCGGAATTTTCAGGGGCAGCCGGCCATCACAGCACCAGCCACTGAGGAAAAGGGGAAGGCCCGTCCTTAGAAACTCAAAAAAACCTTTTTAAAATTTCCTCAGAAAACTGAGGGTTCGAGGGTCGAGGTACGACGGGAGGGAAGGTGTTTTCCTTGCACATGACCAACCTGGGTTTGATCCCATGTGGTCCCCAAGTCCCTGAGCACAGAACCAGGATTAAACCCTAAGCACTGCCAGGTGTGGCCCCCAAACACACACACACACACACACACACACACACACACGCCTGTGGGGGAGGAACACCTGGCGGGCCACATGGGAGGCAATGCTTTAGCCTCCCCCCAGGTCATCTCTGGGTCCCCCACACGTGATTTTTTTTATGGCGGCTCTATCCAAAACCAGACACTGGGAATCACCCAAAGGTCCCAGCAGAGAAATGCTGACCCCTGCACGCCACCAGTGGACAGACGCTGCTCGGCAGGGAAAGGACTTGGGGAGGACTCGGCATGCCAGAACATCAGGCTCGCGCTTCAAGGTCGTGTTTTCCCCTGAACGCGTCTCTCACTTGCCTGTCTCTGCACACACACAACCAGACCGACAGTACGTGTGACGATCCGGGCCTGTCAACCTGGCACCCGAGCACCATGAAAGGCGAGTCAAAGACAAAAACAAAGTTCGAGAGACTGCCACTGTGTACTCCACCTAAATGAAACGAGAGAGGGAGTCCTGTGTGTACTTGGGAAGGAAAAGAGACCGCAATTCAGGAAACGCAACCTGAGGGCCCGCGGGGAGCCAAGAAGCGGGAGGTGCGGAAGGCGTCCCTGCAGGCAGCCTCTGGGGCCGGTGGCAGGGCAGCTCCTCACTGGCGGAGCTGTTGCTAGGCAGAGCGAGAGGTACCTCTCGGAGTATAGGTGGAGGCATCTCTGGTGAGGGGCCCGGGGCCCTCCCGCTGGGGCGCGGGGAAGCGAGGCCACCGCCCACCACAGGGCTCCCCACAGAAGCTTCCTGGATACTGCTCACAGTGCACTGCACACGTGCTCAACTGACCTTAGTGTGGACGCCAAGGTCACTCGATGGCCAGTGATGCTGCGGTGGCCGGGCCCAGACGTGAGCACAATGAAACCAAGCTGGAAGGGTTTTGTTGGTTCCTGGGCCAACCTGGCTCAGGGCTGACTCCTGCCTCTATGTTCAGACGTCACACGAGGTCAGTGTGGTGGCAGGGATCACACCTGGGGTGGCCACATGCAGGTCTGGTACCCTCCCTGCTGTCCTACCACTCCTGCCCCTAGACCCTGGCCATCCACCATTACAAAGAGCAGCAGAAGATGAACTAGATAGGACACGCGGAGGGTTAAGAGAAAACAACTCTCACCATTGGACTTGACCTTGATGTCTTGGACACGCCCCAAAGCAAAAGAAACAGAGAGAAGAGACAGAATCGCATCAGACTTATGTCTGGTTCAACAAAGGGCACAGTCAGGAAAGGAGGTGAGCCCAGGGCGAGGACTGAGGCCCTGAGGCACAGACCCAGGCTCGCCCCACACCCGCACCCACGACTGAGGCAGGTATGTGGCTGCAGACTACATGTCTGATGACAGGTGGTATCAGAACAGAGAAAGAACCGACTCAACAACAAAGAAGAAAACTACCCAGAACATGGGCCAAGGACTTGGAACAGATACCTCTGCAAAGCACTGTAGCACTGTCCTCCCATTGTTCATTCATTTGCTCGAGGGGCACCAGTAATGTCTCCATTGTGAGACTTATTGTTACTGTTTTTGGCATATCGAATACGCCATGGGGAGCTTGCCAGGCTCTGCCGTGTGGGCAGGATACTCTCGGTAGCTTGCCAGGCTCTTTGAGAGGGACGGAGGAATCGAACCCGGGTCAGCCACGTGCAAGGCAAATGCCCTACCCACTGTGCTATCGCTCCAGCCACTTGATATATGTAACACATAATTCAGTAATATTCCTGCCAAAAATACAATTAACCTAATTGTGAGGAAGCATCCAACAACCCTAAATGGAGGAAAGGTTTACAAAATGACCTCTGTCGTTCTTCAGGAGCATTAATATCAGGGGTATCTGCAAAAAATATATATAAAAGTAAAAAGAATGTTTAGAAACACTTGGCCTCACTGGTCGCAATCATTAAAGGTGCCACAAGGACAAAATCTGAAAAAGTCAGGCCAGAGCACAGGACAGCAAGTCGAAGTGGCCCTGCATGCAGCCGACCGGGTTCCGTCCCCAGAACCACACTCGGTCCCCTAAGCCCCACCAGGAGCGATTTCTGAGCATCTCAGGTGTGGCCCCAAAACCCACAAGGACAAGAAAGAGGATCAAGGGGGGAACGAGCCCCGAGGGCCGGAGGCGCAGCTCAGGCCCGTTGTGATTCCTGAAGATTCCTAGAGGCTCACTGTTACCACCTGGTGAGCTCGCACGCACAGAGCGAGCCTGCAGAGTCCATCCTCCATCCTCAACCCCCATCGCCTGCTGCGCAGGGCCGCAGCAACCCAGGGACTGAGCACCGGCGGGAAGGGGCGCAGGCCGGCTGCCAGGTGTCCTGACTTGGGAAGGGCACAGGCCTGGCAGTGCGTGAAGTCCTTCAGAACCCCTGAGGCGAGGGGGCGCCGGGGAGGGGGCACAGCCCCGCATGTGCTTCTCAATTGACCCCAGTCCAATCTCCGGGATGCCAGATGGTGAGAGACTAGAGCAGAGCCAGGTAGAACCCTGCAAACCCGGCTTGCTTCTCAGCTACTTTAACCAGAAATTGCAACAAAGAATTCATTTCTGCCCGCAGGCCCAGAGCCTATTTCTAAAATGTAACTTTTATGTTCTGAGCTTGGAAACAAAGAGCTGGAAACAATCTGGACAAAGGTGCACTTCAAAACTGAGTATCAGCCTTCCACCCGAGCCACTGCAGCCCTGGGCTGCACCTGGACGAGTCCCTGGGCCAGCACCGCGGGGTGTGGCCCCAGAAGTCACCCAGCACCCGAAAACACCAGAGCTACTACGGGCTACATCACAGGAAAAAGCTCAAGTCCTGAACACAAGGTTCCGGCAGTGCCAAAACCCCGGGAAGACGGAGGGGGACGGTAGTAGGCAGGGACCCCGCGCACACAGGGCGTCCGAGCAGGGGACAGTCCTGGACGAGCCACACGTTCCCACCGCCAGGGCAGCTAAGGGGCTTGCCAGGCGAGGGGGCAGGAGGGACACAGGGACAGAGCTCCTGGGGCAGGGGAAGTAGGGGACTGGGTCCCAGAGTTGGGGCTAGGCCCCGGGGGTTCGGGACAGGACTGGGTCCCGGGGGTCCAGGAGCGGGGACTGGGTCCCCAGGGCTCGGGGGTCCGGGAGCCGGGACTGGGCCCCGGGGGTCCGGGAGCGGGAACCGGGCCCGGCACTCCCGGAGTGGGGACTGGGTCCCGGAGCGGGGGCTGGGCCCCGGGGATTCGAGACGGGGGACCGGGTCCCGGAGCGGAGACCGGGCCCCAGCGCGGGGACTGGGTCCCGAGGGTTCGGGGGTCCTGGAGCGGGGACCGGGCCCGGCGGTCCGGGAGCGGGACTGGGCCCCGGGGGTCCGGGAGCGGGGACTGGGTCCAGGCGGTCGGGAGCGGGGACTGGGCCCCGGCGGTCCGGGCGTCCCCGGCGGTCGGGAACGGGGACTGGGCCCGGCGGTCCGGGAGCGGGGACTGGGCCCCGGCGGTCCGGGAGCGGGCTCGGGGGGCGGGGGGGTGGGGGCGCGGGGCGCCCACCGGCCGCAAGATGGACGCGGCGCCCGCCCGCCCGACGCGCCGACGCCGACGCCGCCCGCGCCGCCCCTCCCCCGCTCCCCTCCCCCCGCCGTAACGTCCTGACGCTCCGCAGGGGCCCGGGACGGCGCGCGCGGCCGGCGGGGCCTCCGGGGGGCGGCGCTCACCTGGCCGCGCCCGGGCGGCGGGGACGGGCCGAGGCGGCGGCGGCGGCGGCCGCGGCTCCTGCGTGGGGACTCGGCGGCGGCGGCGGCGGCGGCGGGGCGCGGGCGCGCGCTTCCGAGGGACGCTGGCGGCGGGGGCGCGCGCGCACGGGCGGGCGGGGGCGCGCACGCACGGGCGGGCGGGCCCGGGACGCATTTGGCGCTCGCGGGGCGGCGGGCGGGGCGAGAAGGAAGTCCCGGGCGGCGCGAGTGCGCGTGCGCGGGGCGCCGCGGGCTCCGGGCTTCCCGGGTGGGTGAGCCCCGGCCTCGGCCCCGGCCGGCACCCGCGTCCTCTGCCCCTGCGCCCCGGCGCCTTGCGGCGGCTCGGCTGTCCAGAGTGACCGGAGCGGGGGCGACCTAGGGGGAGGGCGGCAGGTCGGATGCTGGCCCTGCACCCCAACGGGTCCCCGGGCACGCCAGCACTGATCTCGGAGCACTGCGGCAGGAGTAAGCCCCGAGCACTGCCGCCTGTGCTCCACCCCCCCAAAATAGAGTGGCCAGAGGGCCTATTGTGAGTGGGGGTCCGGGGTCAGGAGCCAATCGGTCGCGGCTGTAAAGCCACCCCATAAAGGCCAGCAGGGAGGGTGAGTGGGGCCCTCTTCCCCGACACACACGCACGCGCGCACACACAGACGCGCGCACAGGCACGCGCGCGCACTGCATATCCTGGAAGGGCCCCAGCACTGGGCTGGAAAAGGGGCCGGGGCCGCGACCCCCAGACCAGCGGCCCCCTCTAGCAGCCCTCTGACCGGCCACTTGGAGCCGCATGTAGGGCCGGGGCTTCCCCTGGGCAGGACCAGGGGGAGGTCCACGAGGCAGCGGAAGCCCTGCATCCTGGACTGCGCGCGGTCCCAACCTGGGACTACCTGGCGGGCATGAGCTGGCCCTCTGCTCCCCAAGTCAGTCTGGAGCTCACAGGGGCGGGCCTGTCCCCGCCGCTGTCCAGGTGGCCAGCAGCCCCAGCCCTGCAGAGGGAGGGAAACTCCGCCTTCCAGCGCTCTGGGACCCCGTGTCCACCGTGGCCGCCGAGAGCCCGCCTGTCCCAGCGCCAGACGAGGCAGCTGTGCTTCCCTCGGAGTGAGGAGCAGCCGGCTCAGCCCCACTCCGCAGGTTTCTGGGCCTTGGGAAGGAGCGTGGCTGGCGCGTGCTCCTGCACGGCCTGAGTGCTGACTCACGGTGTGGGGCGCAGCCCTTGGAGTGCCCCAGCCTGAGCCTGGCTGCTCTCCATGGGGGCCCTGTGCCCCTGCTCAGCTCACATGCTCCCCTTCCTCGGGGGCAGCCCACAGACAGTTTGAGGTGGAGTGGGAGCAGCTACGTCAGAGGTGGACCCCTGGGCTGCGGCCGGGCCCTGAGGGGCCTGAGGAGCTTCCAGAGCACGCCAAGCCCAACCCTGAGGACACAGACGCCAGCAGGACCGGCTGTGTCTCAGAAGCCACGTCCCAGGCTCGCTCCAGGGCTGCTACCTTCCTTGGTGTCCGACAGGGCCAAGAGTCAAGGTCCCCCTCGCAGACCTGTGGGCAGTGGCGCCTGTGTGTGGGCAGAGGTGCAGGCCGGTGCCTGGGTGTGGCCCTGATTTGTGCCTATACCAGTGCCCCTGCCCCTGCCCCCTCTCCCTGGGAGTGGGGCGAGGAGATGAGTGTGGGACAGTACTGAGCTGTCCGGGCCACGGGGAGCCGGCAGGCCGGACACTGCCTCCCTGCAGGGGGCCCAGGCACCGCCCAGGAGGTCCCCAGAGTCCCATGGCTCATGGCTGCCCAGGGTGTGCAGACCCCCACGGTCCATGGCACCCCAGCGTGAAGCAAGGGCCAGCCCTGGGCCTGTCCGGCAGCTCTACAGGCCCAAGGTGGGCCTTGTGCCAGCTTTTTGTTTGTGTCTAACATTGCCATCGTCACTAGGTCTGATTGTGGTGACCAGAACAGAAGCTTGAGGGGCCGGCAGGAAGATGGTGCGAAGGGCTGGAGCCTGTCCTCAGGCCTGTGTGTCCCTCGAGCCCAGAGCACTGACCGGCGTGACCATCAGCGAGTTACTGGGGACCCCAGTCCAGGCGGCTTCGGGACACAGGATTCTGCCCTTCAGCCAGTCATGGGTCACACCACGTGGGTCACACGTCACGTGGGCCACAGTCACATGGGTCACACCATCACTTGGATCTCAGTCACATTGGTCACGCTATCACATTGTGGGTCACACCACGTGAATCGCACCATATCATGGGTCACACCATCACGTGGGTCACACCACGTGGGTCACGCCAGCACATCGTGGGTCACGCCATCACTTGGTGTCATGCGCCCAAGATGGTGTACACCAACCAGGGCAGGTTCCACAGGGAGCGCCCAACCACCAGGACACAGCTCCCTGCCCATGCCCTACAGACCACTGCTCCCTTGCAGAAGTCCACTGTGCCACCATGTCCCCACAGGACCCTGTACAGGGCACAGAGGACTATGGGTGGACCATGCCCTGTACCCATCCCCCCTTTCCTGCTGTGGGACTGCCCTGGGCAGTGCGTGAGGTGATGCTGCCTGACCCCCAGTGCGGGCTGCCACGGTCACTCCCCACACCCGGGGGAGGCCAGGGACACTGAAGAATCCCCAAGGGCAGGGCCAGGGGGGTGGCAGAGGACCCCCAACGTCTGGGTCTGGGAAGCCGTGTCCAGTCCCAAAGCTGGCTGCCACTCAGCCACCTGCTGCTCCTGCCTGGGGTTCCATGGGGACATTCTGCCTGGACCCAGGATGCAGAGTGCAGAGGTGGGGATGTGGGCTCCATATTCTAGGCCGTCAAAGGTGCCTTCGAAACTGTCACACGGCCACTGGCTCCAGGCACCAGGGTTGCCCCTTGGAGAAGCTTGTGTCTCCACCCTGGCCATAGATGATAAGCACTGATTTCTGGGGGGCCGGCCCTGGACCACTGCAGTGACATCTGTGCAGTGCCACTGACTGGCTTTCCTCCAGAAGCCAGAGGAACAGGTGGCAGCCCAGTAGGCCATCCTCTGCCCAACTCTGGACCATGCCCTCTGGTGTGTGTGTGTGTGTCCCCATGTGCTGTATGTGCCCTCTGGTGTGTGTGCCGCTGGGGTGTGTCTCGTCTAGGGTACGTCGTGACCCCTGTGTGCATGCCTCCCGGTGTCTGTGTCCCCGTGTGCTCTCTGCTGGGTCTGCAGCCCCGGGGGCGGCGCCTGTACACTCAGCCGCACCTCTCTGCCAGGGCGCAAGGAACTGGCTCCAGGCAAGCCCTGGCCACGGGGCCTTGAACAGGCAGAAGGAGCCGAGTCTGCTCCACCACTGCTAGGTTTATTGAGGGTGCCACCACATCTATGAACAGGGCCGCCGAGGGGGACCCAGCCAGTACTGGGAAGGAGGGACCGTGGCAGCGCCCACGGCTCCTCAGAGAGCCTGTGATGAGCCACAAGGACTAGACAGTTCTGCGTGCGGAAAGCGGGAAGCTGGGGATGCGGGGTGGGAGTGGAAAGAGGGACAGAATTGCATCTAGACAAAGTCGAACAAAACAGAACACCCGAACGTGTTGTGTGTCTTCTCGGGATCCAGGTGCCGAGAGCCCTTAGCCCGACATCTCCTCCCGCTGTTCCTTGTTCCTGCGCACCTCCGCTGCGTGCAGCTCCTGGGAGAGAAGGCAGAGATGGGCAGAGGGTCCTGCCTGGCTGCCCGTGCCCACTCCCAGGGTTCCTGAGATCCTTTCACTCAGAAGGACGGGCCTCAGCTGGGGCCGATGTCACCCATGAGGACATCTTAGTGGCCAGGACTGCGTGTCCTCTGAAATGTTCAACGACAGCTTTGGTTCCTTTGGTTGACTTTTTAAGCTTTTGGGTCGCACCCCCTGATGCTCAATTCCTGGGGGACCATATGGGATGCTGGGAATCGAACCCGGGTTGGCCGCGTGCAAGGCAAAAGGCAGACGCCCTACTCGCGGTGCTATCTCCAGCCTGGCGCGCTGCCCCGTCTCGATGCGCCTGTTACACCCCGGCCCAACCCCTGCCCTTCTAGGCAGGCCCGCCCCCAGGCCCGCCCCGTCCGCCTCCAGCCCCGGTTTGACTCGCCGGCCCCGCCCCCTCCCGGCTCGCCCCGCCCCTCCCGGCTCGCCCCGCCCCCTCCGCCTCCAGCCCCGGTTTGACTCGCCGGCCCCGCCCCCTCCCGGCTCGCCCCGCCCCCTCCCGGCTCGCCCCGCCCCCTCCGCCTCCAGCCCCGGTTTGACTCGCCGGCCCCGCCCCCTCCCGGCTCGCCCCGCCCCCTCCGCCTCCAGCCCCGGTTTGACTCGCCCGGCCCCGCCCCGTCTCGGCTCGCCCCGCCCCCTCCGCCTCCAGCCCCGGTTTGACTCGCCGGCCCCGCCCCCTCCCGGCTCGCCCTGCCCCTCCCGGCTCGCCCCGCCTCCGGCCCAGTTCGCCCCGCCCGCCCGCGCACCTTCTCGCGCAGCCGCTCGCGCAGCGCCGCCAGGTGCGCCTCGCGGATCTCCTTGCTGAGCTCCATCTTGTAGTTGAGCTTCTCCTCGGCCAGGCGGCTGAAGTTGTTGTTGTCCTCCAGCGCCTTGTGCAGCACCTCGCGCTCGTGCTCGCGCCGCTCCGCCAGCTGCTTCAGCACCTGGGCCTCCTGCGTCTGCGGGGCGCGCGGTGAGCGCCTGGGCCCCCGCCCGGACCTGCTCCCGGGGTCCCCGGGCGGCCGGCCTCGGACCCCGCCCGTGCGCAGGACTCGGGAGCACCTTCCCAGGACAGCCTTTTGTGCAGAGCTGGAGTGGGCCCTGTGCGGGCTCCCGCCTCGCCCCTCCCCGCTCCTGGCTCGCCGCTGTCCCCGCGGGCCCTCCCGTTCTCCTGTGTGGGCGTCAGGGACAGGAGAGGGGGAGGGCGAGGCAGCGAGGGCCCAGCGCCCCAGGGAGCCTCACCTTCCGCCGCTCCTCGGCCGCATCCAGCCGCTTCTGCAGCTCCTCCAGGGAGGGGTCCTTCCTCTTGGGGGGCGAGGAGAGCACAGGGCTCTCCGGGGACAGGTCAGAAGGGGACTTGAGGATGACCTCGAAGCTCTGGCCAGAGGCCCTCTTGTCCAGCTGCTTCACCTCCATGTCTGCAGGGAATACAGCAGAGCGGGCTGAGGGGTCGCCGCCCCCCCACCCGCGGAGCCTGCGGAGGACAGTGGGCCACTCACCCCCGTACTGGTAGCTGGTCCGGGGGTGCGGCTGCGAGTACAGGCAGGAGCAGATGAGTGACAGCACGGACAGCTCCTTCATCTTCTCCTTGTAGGCTGCAGGCGGGAGGGCCGTGAGCCGCACGCGTGGCCAGCCCACCCTCCCCGCCACCTGGTGTCCCCTGCCCCGGGTTTCTGCATCTGAAAGCCCCCTCACACGTGGTCCCTGCCTCCTGGTCTCCTCCTGGTCTCTGCGACACTCTCCTCACCCCTGGCCATGGCTTTGTGGCTGTTTGTCGCGGTGTGCCCGGCCCCCCGTGCCCTCCGAACCCACCACAGTCTCCCTCCATCTCGGCCCTTTGTGCAGGTGGGTGAGTGTCCAGCACAGACGTGAGGCCCCAGCGGGCAGCTTTCCTTGGGCTCAGATCCCTGCCCCCGTAGCTCCATGCCCCCGGCCTTGCCCACAGCCAGCGTCTCTGCTGCTCCTGCGTTCTGGAGTGGCTGATGGCCGAGGCAGGGGCCCGTGGGGAATGTGGAGTGTTTCCCTCCATGTGGCGGGCATGTGGCACGCAAATGTGGAGCGAAACCCTCAGGTGGGTGTCGTCGTTGGGTGCTGCAGACTGTCCAACCCCACCGCCACCCAGCAACACCGGGCTCGGCGGGGGGCAACCCAGACCCCTGATCTGTGTCTCTCCTGTGCGCAGACCCACCACTCCTCTCCCCCACAGCAGCCCGGGAAAACCATGCAGGTGAGTACAGCGTGGACCTGGAGCTGGGAGGAGCGCCTGCCGCTCCCCGGGCTCTGTCCTCACCGGCAGGACCCACGGGTGCAGGGCCGGCCTCAGGACTTACTCCTGACTCTGCACTCGGGGATCACTGGGGGGCTCGGGACCTGACGGGGTGCCAGGGATCGAACTCAGGCTGGTCGCATGCAAAGCCAGCCCCTCCCCTGCCGCAGCTGCACAGCCTCCCGTTCGCTGCCAAGGGAGCCTAAGGAATGTGGCTGCCCGTCCCCAGAGCCAGCCCTCAGCTCAGACCGGACCTGGGGGCACAGGGGACCCTGTGTCCTGGAGAGGCCAGAGGGAGGGGAGGGGTGTGGGCCCACTCTCAGCCCACAGCCCTGCACCAGTCTCTGCAGGGCAGCAGCCGGGGCTTAGGAACCGGGCTGGTGCGGGCAGGCACGGTGTTGACTGGGGAGGGGGTTGGGCGTGGGCACTGGAGACGGCAGTCGGGACTCAGGCCTCAGAGCTCTGCCCAGGGGACAAGTATCCACTGGGAGGGGAGTGGCAGTGGCCACCAGCTGCACCTGGGAACCTGCAGTTCGTGCCCCTGGAGACCCCCAGCTGCAGGTGAACTGGGGGAGGAGTGTTGCCATCTGGGGGGAGCACTTGAAAGTGGGCACTGAAAGGAGCCCTGGAGCTCTGGGGAGGAGAGCCTGGGAGGGGGCCAAGGACCCAGGGCGTGAGCCTGGCTGCAGGCAGGCGCAGTGGTCAGAGCTGGAGAGGCCTCCAGCCGTCTGTGGGCACTGGAGGGGCCGCTCTGCACTTTGCATGCGGGACTTGGTGTTGGATCGCCAGTACCACTTGGCCCTGGAACCAGAAGGGCCCTGAGCATCGCAGGATGTGTTTTAATCCCGCCAAAGGGCTCTGTCTGCAGGGGGCGGGGTGCATCCTGCCAGTTGCCCCTGGGAGTGGCCTTTGCTCCTCCCAGCAGAGACCGGAGGGTCGGCCACTGCCTGTGAAATGAGCAGGGACACTGGGGCACTCGTGGGCACCAGTGGAAGGTGCCAGATAAGCAGCAGGTCAGCAGCAGTGGGAGGTTGCTGACCCCGGCCAGCTTGATGCAGGACAGTGCCACACGCCGGCTGCTGACCGTGCAGCTCCAAGGGCAGGGGGCACGCATGCTGGGGCACCTCAGCCGTGGTGGCCGCGGGGTCCCATCAGACACAGCTCACTCCCCGACTGGCCGTGCAGGGGACACCGGGAAACGGCAGCAACACCAGGCCCCCTGGGCCGGCCCTTCCGGCTGACCCTCTCAAAGGGGCGGTGCTGGCATGCTCGAGCCCACCAGAGGTGGAGACAGGCGTGGTGGGCAGCGGGAAGCAGAGTGCCTGCTGGGCTCAGGGGACGGACACACTCCTGAGCCCACACAGGGCAAGGCCGGGCCCCCCACCCAGCAGCCCAGGTGTCCGAGGGGGCTTCCAGGAGCAGGCGGAGGGCCAGGGGGCCAGCCCCGCCCTGCTACGCTGCTCAGGCTGTGAAGAGCTGAAGGTGACACCAGCTCTGGGGACGGCCGCGGAGCAGGGCCCTGCTCTGGGGCTGGTCAGGTGCGCCTCCGGGCCGGCAGAGGACAGGAGGGGGCGGGCGGGTCACTGAGTGTGGCCATCCCTGCTGGGTGTGGGGGAATCAGGCGGGAAGACCCTGAACCGCCTCTGGGCGGTGACCCGCGGCCCCACCCCCATGCAGCCCCCGAGCCTCGAGGGTCCAGACGGGACCCCTCCCCCATCGCGGCCACGCCCGCTACTCCAGGGGCTGGGGTGGGGGCGATTCAGCTCTCTGAGACGCCTGGTCCCCCCTCCCGGCCGGGGGCTCGCTCAGACCTGGGTGCCCCAAGCTCACGCGCTCCCCTTCCAAGACGCTGGCCAGGGGCCAGGGGTCTCGCACCCGCTCCGTGGCCGTGGTCGGCACCGCCCCGCCGCCCCTGCAGTCCGGCCATCCCCGCCGGCCCCCGCCGGCCCCCGCCGCCCCCCACCCGCCCCCTCTGACCCCCGGCGGCCCCCGCCGGTCCCTGTCGACCCCCGCCCGCCCCCTCTGACCCCCGCCGGCCCCCTCTGACCCCCACCGCCCCCCGCCGGCCTCCGCCGACCCCCACCATCCCCCGCCACCCCCCACGGACCCCCGCCGCGGCCGCCCCCCCACCCGCGCTGCGATGCCCGCGGACCGAGAGCGGGGCCGCCTGGGCCTACCGGACATGGCGCTGGCCATGGTGCTGGCTGGGCTGGGCGGGCCGAGAGCGCGCGGCTGCGGCTGCAGTGGGGAATGCGGCAGAGCTGGGAGGAGAGCGAGGCAGGGAGGCTGCGCAGGCGGAGGGCGGGGAGGAGGGCGAGGGAGGAGGGCGAGGCTGGGGGAGGGGAGGAGGGACGGGGAGGAGGGCGAGGAGGGAGAGGCTGGGGGAGGGGAGGCCTAGGGCAGCTGCCCCTCAGGGACCGGGCATGCTGCTGTGCTCTGAGGCCTGCCTTCGCCTGGGTTTTGTGCCAGCTTTGGGGGACGGTGGTGACAGCTCCGTCCCTGGGGAAGCCACGATGGTCCCCGGCAGCAGGGGTGGGGGTGTTTCGGGGCTACAGCTCCTGGTGGGCTCAGGGGGCCATGTGGGGTGCTGAGGATGGAACCAGGCCAGCCGCGGGGGAGGCAAGGGCCCTCCCTGCTGTGCTGTCTCTGGCCCCCTGGGGTGGGGAGGGTCTGCAGCACCCTGTCACCACAGGGCACCCAGAGCAGTGAGAAGGGGAGAGGGCAGGAGACCAGGTCAGGACGCGGGACTGGGCGGGAATGTGCTGCCCGGCCCCATGGCCATGCGCCCGGGCTGAGGGTCAGCTCCTATGCCCACTGCCAGCCGGGGCTGACGGTTTAATCCTTACGAAAAACGGTAGGAAGGAAAATGAGAACTGAGCTGCCATGTGATACAGAAATTCTAGTTCTGAGGACCCACCCCAGGAGACAACGACATTCTCTAGAGGTATAAGCACTTGCTGCAGCATTTAAGATGTGCAGTCAACTTAAGCGTCCAACGGCAGATGGCTGGACAATAAAAGCTACACACACACACACACATACACACACACAATGGCATATTATGTGGCTCCTAGAATGACGATTGTGAAACTCGCTACAACTTGGTTGGAACGGAAGAATATCATGTTAAGTGAAGTGAGTCAGAAGGACAAACACAGGATTGTTTCACTTATCTGTGGTATACAAAATAGTAGGATGACGGAAAACAAGGGGTTAAAGGGGGAGGCTTAGATGGGGGGGGCCTCGGCAAGCACACTGGTGGTAGGGAGGGGTGATGTCTGCATAGATCCAAATCACAGAGGCAACCGCATGCAAGCAGAAGACCCAAACTACAACGACGAAACTTGAAAATGTGGCTGTCCAGGAGGCAGACTGGGGCTGGGGGAACCTGGGGACAGAGTGCTAGGATTGGCGTGGGAGTCTTCTATGTCTGAAATGTAGCCACCAATGGCTTTGTAAATTACAGTGCCCTTAATAAGAGAAAGAAACAAGGGCAAAACTTAAAAGCTTCACATAATGGACACTCCTCTCCGCCCCCCCAAGAAAAAAAGCCATGAGAGATTGCTGTTCCTTCCTGGGTTGGGGTCACTGCCCGCGGTGGCCGGAGGGTCTCCTGGTGCCCTGGGGGCTGAATCCCCATCCCTGTGGCTGGTCAACAGAGACAGATGAACAAAGGAACGGGGCCCGCAGGCTGGTTGGTATCAGTGGCCATTTCTTTGAGTCTCGAGAAACCATGAAGGGTTGGGGGCAGCAATAACACATAGGTGTGGTAGAACGTTATCATAACCCATGAGCCGATGTGAAGTCCTTCCTGCAGTGAAGTTCTCCTAGGGGATTTATTCAAGGACAAAATCTCATCTAGGTGCTCAGCACTCTAAGATTCCTGCTGGGAGATCCACCCCCGGGTAGAATCCCATCTAAGGGGGTCTTGCTTCCTCCTTTCCTTAGCCCGTATCCACTTAAACCATCAACTTAAACTTACTGATATTTCCAGTCATTTGTACAGACACGGTTAAGAGAAATACTAAGCTTAAAGGGTGGCTCTTCCTGGGGACATCTCACTAGATAACCCAGACTACAGTCCTCCGGCCAGGTCAGTCTTTCCCAACCCCAGCAGAGTCCTTATTCGGTCACTTCTTCATGGTTCATGACAGAGCTTGTTCCCTGACGGTGCTCTTACCTTACTTACTATACTTCTTATGGCGCTTAGCCTGGCCCTTTCGGTGCCAGGGTAGCATATGGCCTGCCCTGGGTCCATCCTTATCCCTCCTTTTGGGGTTTTAAAAGCGGAAGGTAACTGCAGCTTAAGTCAAGTCAATATGACAGATGCCCAGGAGTAAGTATTATTTGGAGTTAACTCCTAAGTTACAAAAGCATACATGAACTATCTTCCTGTGTCTATACAAAAAAGGTCATGGCTCTAAAATAAACTATGCAAAGGACATAAAGGAAAGAGAAAAGCAGTGTTTCACTTATATATAAAAAACCCAGAGCCCTCAGAAGACTTTGACTTTCCAAGTCATAGGGTCTGATTTGGGGATATTTAGGGTTAAAAATTGGGGGGGGGGGAGAGCACAAAGGAGAGGTTAAAGCCAAACACAGAGGATTGGGAGTGCCTGATGGAATTGGGTGTGCCTCAGGAGCACTGTGCTGGGAGTAACTCAATAAACCTAAGCTCCCTGCAAGGGGGGATGGGGAAAGACAAGCCAATGTCAAGCCTAAATGCTTAGACCTGTAATCCAACAGTGAAACCTGTGAGGCCGCCACAGTGGACACCACAGCAGCCCCCTCCTGGAGTCTCCCTTCAGCTGATGACAACTTGAGAGATCAAGGCAAGGAAAGTTGAGCGTGAGGAAAGGGACAATGAGACGGCGCCTCTCTAGCACGGGGACAAGCCAGGTTCCATCTCCAGGAGTGGACATGGGCCCTAGGCACTGGCAGTGACCCCTGAGCACGGACGGGGGTGGTCCCCAAACCACAACAAAGCGAGGCAAGCTCTCTGGCTAACGGGCCATGTGGGAGGACCTCCAAACTGTTCCCTGCCCGCAGCCAGCAAGGCAGGGTCCCCCGTCCTGCTGCGGGAGGAAGTTACTCCCGAGGAGACTGCTCACAAGGGGACACTGGACACCCCAAGGCCTCCAGGCGCGCAGGCGCAGGTGACCAGCAAGCAGCCCAGCCCCGCTGCAGACCGACACCCAGACCCCGAGAGCGTGCTGCGCCGGGGTGGGCTTCCACGCGCCCCGAGGAACCCGCCTCCCGGGCCGCGACCCCTCCTCCGCTCCAGCACCGGCGGCGGACACCGGCCCGAGTCCCGCATTTCAGGGGTATCAGCGGGCTCCGCGCCGCCCACGTGGGCGGGCGGGGCCGGAAGTGCGGGGCCGGAAACGGGGCAGGTCCGTTTCCGCCGGAAGTGCGGCTCCTGCCCGCCAAATCCGAACGGGCGGCTCGGCGGGTCGGGCTGGGCCGGGGCGCCGGGTCCGGGGGCGCCCCGCAGAGGCCGCGCGACGCGACACCCAGGTACCGGGGCTCCCACCCGCGCTTGGGGCTCGCGCGGGCGGAGCCCCGACTACAACTCCCGGCAGGCCTTGCGCCTCGCCGCGGGCCTGGCGCCGGCCGCCTCGCCGCTCTGCATCCTGGGACCTGTAGTTCCTCGGCCGGCGCGGTTTCGGGTGGTCGTGGCGGGGAGGTCGCGCCGCCGGGGGTCCCGCGCTGGTGCCCCGCCGGGGACCGCCGCCGAGGCAGCGGCCCGGCCTCCTGAGCGCCGCCCCGCCTGTGCCCCCGCGCTGCCCGCCGGGCGCCGCGACCACCCGCCGCTATGGCCCGGGTCACGCTGCGCGGGGTGGCCGTGGACTTCCCCTTCCAGCCGTACCCGTGCCAGGAGGAGTACATGCGCCGGGTGCTGCAGTGCCTGCAGGAGGTAGGGCCCGCGGGGCTGGCCGCTCCCGGCGCGCGGTCCGGCGGCCCGGGCGGACGGGGCAGTGCCGACCCGCCCTCCCGCGCCCCTGTCCCCCCAGCAGGTGAACGGCATCCTGGAGAGCCCCACGGGCACCGGCAAGACCCTGAGCCTGCTGTGCGCCACGCTGGCCTGGCGCGAGCACCTGCGCGATGCCCTGTCCGCCCGCGAGATCGCCCAGAGGATGGGCGGCGACGCTGACCTGTCCGGGGCCCCGGCGCCCTGGGGGGCCGCGGCCACAGGCGATGGCCCGGGTACAGCACCCCCCACCCCCAACCCCAACCCCCCCGCCCGCCGCGCCGCTGCTGCACCCATCCTCCGCCCGGGCAGAATCCTGGGCCTGGGCAGGGCTCGTGGGCTGTGGGCACCCCCGCCTCGTGCCCAGGGGCCTCTGACTGTCCCCTTGCACCAGCTTGCTATGCGGACATCCCGAAGGTCATCTACGCCTCCAGGACACACTCACAGCTCAGCCAGGTCATCGGGGAGCTGCGCAGCACCCGCTACCGGTGTGTCCACAGTCCTGGGTCTGTGCGGAGCTGCCCCGGTGCGGGGGGCGGTCGGGCCCCAGCCCACTGCAGCACAGAGGACCTTCCCAAGCCCAGGGCACTCCCTCCAGAGCCCACATCACGCCCCGCGTCCTTCCGCACAGGCCTCGGGTGTGTGTGCTGGGCTCGCGGGAACAGCTGTGTGTCCATCCTGACGTGCGAAAGCAGGAGAGCACCCACGTGCAGGTGGGCTCCCCCGCCTGGGCAAGGGCAGCACACCAGGGGCGGGCAGACCTGGGGGGGAGGGGGCGGGCATGCACCCTCTTGCCCCTGGCTGGCCACAGGGGTCCCTGTCCTTGCTCTCTGCTCTCAGATCCACTTGTGCCGCAAGAAGGTGACCACGCGGTCCTGTCATTTCTACAACAACGTGGAGGGTGAGGCCATGGTCGTCTGGTTCCTGCTTGGGACGGCCGTGGGCAGGTGTCCGGCTGGCCTGGAGGCAGCTCCTCCTGGGGCTGCCTCAGGGGTTCCCTTCCGGCCCCGGCAACCTCCCTGGTTTTCCTGAGCGGGGGTCATCCAGGCTGCTGAGCTGGGCTCTGCTCCCCTTGCCAGCCAGATGCGACATTTTGGGGAGTCACTGGGGGTCTCTGCTGGGAAACAGTCCTGGGGGGATGCCCTGCTGCCCCCATTGGACATGTGGGTCCAGGTCCCGGCCACACTGCCCCAGGACAGGCCAAGGTTGGGGGTCCCAGGTGGCCTGGTTGGGCCTGGTCCCACGGAAGCCAGAGACCTTTGGAACCCAGGTGGCCAGCACCAACCCGGGGAGGGGGCTGGTAACTGCCCTCCGTGGGGGGACTGTGGCCCTCAAAGGCTTATGTCTGCCCTGACTGTCCCTAGAGAAGAGCTTGGAAAAGGATCTGGCCACCCCCATCTTGGACATCGAGGACCTGGTCAGGGCAGGGAACAAGCATAAGTGAGTGCAGGAGGACTGACCTCAGGCCTGTGTGCCTGTCCTGGGCTCTGTGCTCTGGGACTGGGTGGGTACCCAGCCTCCCCCGGCCCCGCTGCTGTCCCTCGCGCCCGGCTCCCCATGACACGCCGAGGACGAGGCCACCGGCCAGGCTTTCTGTGACTGCTTGGTGGGGGTGGGGGAAGTCACGGAGAGCTTGGATGTTGTTGGGGGCCAGGGCTCCCCACAGGCCTCCCTCTGGGCCCTGTGACCGTCCTCTGTCAGTGGAGCTGTGTCCTCACGGCCCAGCCTACCAGAGCCCGTGTCCCTGCAGGCCTGGGTGCGAGGTCGGCTCTGCAGTGCTCATGGCCATCCTGCCTCCCGACCCAGGCTGTGCCCCTACTACCTGGCCCGGAACCTGCGGCAGCAGGCGGACATCATCTTTATGCCGTACAACTACCTGCTGGACCCCAAGGTGAGGCAGGACAGGAAGGGAGTGGTCAGGCAGGGTCCAGAGGGGCCATGTCCTGAGCGCCACAGTGGTTCTCAGACTGGGCCACATGGCCGACACGACCAGCTGCCACCAGCCCCTCTCGCTCTAGAGTCGCCGGGCGCACGGCATCGACCTGAAGGGTACCGTCATCATCTTTGACGAGGCTCATAACGTGGTGAGTGCCGGGTGCCAGGCCCTCCGCTGTGTCCAGTGCGCCTGTTGTGTGCTTCCGCCCACCTGTTGTGGCCGTCCCGGCCCTGCCCCCCCACGGCCCCTTCCTGTACACTGCGGGGCCTGGACAGGGCACTGGATGCCACCACCCCCCAGCGCTGCTCTTGGCAGGGGTCAGTCTCCCGGCTGGACTCACAGGGACGGACGCCTGAGAGGTTGACGGCTCAGCTCGTCCCGAGCCTTAGCAGGCTGGACAGGACAGGCGGGCCCTGGTGGCCAGGTGGGCTTCCGTGGCCTGTGCCCTGTTCCTGCTCGCTCTGACGCTGGTGTCGGCTCCCAGGAGCGGATGTGTGAGGAGTCGGCATCCTTTGACCTCACCCCCCACGACATTGCCTCCGGGCTGGAAACCATCAGCCACGTGCTGGAGGAGCAGGCCCGGGCCGCCCAGCAGGGGGAGATGGGCCCGGCCTTCAGTGTGGACGCCCCCGGTGCAGGTGAGCAGTGGGTGGGGGAGCCAGGCAAACTCTGGTGAGAGCCGGGTGGGCCCCTGACTCAGCTGAGCGGGCACTGTTTAGGGTGGGCCTTTGGGGGGCCTTTGCTGCCTGCTTCCTGGCCCCCCAGCCCATCAGTCAGTGAGAGGGCAGCTCTCGGCCGGCGACTGTTTCTTTGGCCCAGGTCCTCTGCATCCTGTGTGCAGTGGAGACTGGGCTGTCGGGGCTGGCGCACCCTGTGAGTGTCAGGGAGAAGGGGTCCCCGCGGGCTGACTGGGCGATGGCTGTGTCCACAGTCAGTGCTGCGGCCTCGTGGCCATGTGGCATGTTCTCTGGACGCCCTCGTGATCCCCTCCTTTGCTCTCCCTGCCGGTGTTCCCTGGTGGCTCTGTGCCCTTGACCTGCATGGAGGTGGACTTGGCCCGCCCAGGCTCCAGGTTCCGAGCGGGGGTCGGCCAGTCTGCCGTGAACCTGCTGTTTGTCCGGGTCTCTGCAGGACGGGGTCTACCTCTGGGGGTGGGTCCCTGTCCTGCGTCTGGGTTGGCAGCCTCTTGTCTTGTGCAGGGCTGAGCCTGGAGCTGGAGGACGTGGCCAAGCTGAAGAGTAAGTGTGGCCGCTGGGGGTCTCCGGCAACGAGCCGGGGTGGCCCTGACCCCCCTCGCTCCCCGCAGTGGTCCTGCTCCGCCTGGAGGCCGCCATCGACGCTGTCCAGCTGCCGGGAGATGGAGGGGGCGTCACCAAGCCTGGGAGGTGAGACGCCGGCACCCGCCACCCGTGGGCCCTGACCTCGCGCAGCCCCCCGCAGCCCCCACTCTGGAGGTGCCCTGCCACTCCCCACGCGTGTGGCCCCTAGTGGCCTGGGAGTCTGTCGAGCAGAGGACCGGGCTGGGCCGTTCGTGCCGGCGCGACGGCCCTCCCCTGCGGCTCTCTTCTCCCAGCTATATCTTCCAGCTCTTTGCTGAAGCCCAGATAACGGCTCAGACCAAGGCCTGCATCCTGGACTCCCTGGAGCAGATCGTCCAGCACCTGGCCGGCCGTGAGTCCCAGCATGCTGCTCCCACACCCCCGTGCCCCCTGGCTACGTCCTGCACGTGTTGCCGTGCCCCTTGTGGGGATGAGCTGTGGGCGGCTGTGGGCAGGGCCTGCCTGGAGCTGTCACCTGGCGGGTAGCGGGTGGCAGGAGCCTTTGCTGGCGTGTGGCTCCCGGGGCCCGGGGAGGTCAGTGCTCACTGCTCCCACAGGAGCAGGCCCGTTCACGCACACGGCAGGGCTGCAGAAGCTGGTGGACATCATCCAGGTAGGACTGGGGGCGGGCACTGCCCCCGGGCATGGGGCTGTCCACCACACGTCCTGTCAGCCCCTGGTGCCCAGGGGGCAAGGAGTTAGCAGCCATTCCCAACCAAACTGAACCCTTCTCTGGACAGCATCCAGGCCACTGGGCATCAAGAGCGAAGTTCTGGGGAAGCACTTGCCCCCAGCCTGCGGCCCAAGGGCCTGCCCTGGCCTTCCCTGGCCCTGCCCACTGCCCCTCGCACCCTTTCCTGGCCAGTCTGGGATGTCCACGACACCAGGAGGCCCAGGGAGGACGTGGACACCAGGTGCTGGTGTGGCTGGGGAGCCCCACAGGGCGCCCGCGTGGGGCCAGGCCAGCCCAGCTGCCCCCATCAGCTGGGCCTGGGGTCAGGGGCAGCCTCTGTCCCTTCTTGCTCATTGCCATCAGCCGGAGGCTTGCTGCCTGGGGCTGGGCCATCCTGGCATTAGCGGGCAGGTGGCCATGGTGTCCTCCCCCCTTCCTCACGTGGCTGACCCTGGGGTCCCCACCCTGCCAGGTCCCAGGACAGTGTGCCCCATGGGGTGGGGTGACAGCAGCTGTGGATCCTGCTGCCTTGGCCCCTGCACGCCACCACGATGGCCCGTCACTGCCCACACCAGGGCCACATGTCCTGCTGAGTGCTGCCCACCCTTTACAGATGGTCTTCACCTCAGACGTAGCACAGGATGGACCTGGCTCCAGGGGGGACTTAGGAGTCTCTCAGTTCTACAAGGTACAGGCACTGCCCAGGGCTTCTGGGGTCTCTGCTGGGCACTGCCCAGGGCTCCTGGGGGGTGGCTCTGCTCATGCTGTGGGTGCCCGCAGGTACACATCCACCCAGACACGAGCCAGCGGAGGACAGCTCAGCGGTCAGATGCCTGGAGCAGCCCCGTGGCCAGGAAGTCAGGTGGGGGCAGTGCCCAGGCCCAGGTGCCCCTCCCACCCGGCTGCGCGCTGGACAGGCCCACCAGTGCCCAGCTGGCTTAGCAGGGAGCTCCTGGCTGGCCCCGCAGCTGCCCTGGGGCCCCCGGGACTGGACAGGGGTCACGGCGTCAGCCCTGGCTCCTGTCCCTGCTGCTCTTGAGCTGGTCGGGCTGGGGCCCAGGGCTGTGCACTCCGGCTGGTGTCCGAGGGCCCAAGCTGTCTGGTGTGCGGTCACTCTAGCCTGATCCCTGCGGCGGGTCCTGTCTCCTGCCGTTATGCCCAGCCCCGGCATCTTCGCCGGCCTCTTCCTGAGGGTCACCAGGGGCTGCGGAGTCAGGCCGAGCCTGGGGCCCCTGGTGGGGATCACTGGCGTCCCCCTGTGGCTCCACCCATGGGGCTGGTGGCCAGGAACTGCCCCCACGCCAGGGAGGGGAGGCTGGCCGTGGGGGCTAGCTGGCACCCTCGCCCCCGCGTGCACCCCAGCCCCCCACGTGTGCTCAAGTCCGCCCCAGCTCATGTGCAGCTCTGCGTCCACCCAGGACCGTGGACCCTGGCCCACACGAACCCTGCTTTGTCCCCAGGGAAGGTGCTGAGTTACTGGTGCTTCAGCCCTGGGCACAGCTTGCGGGAACTGGTCGTGCGGGGTGCCCGCAGCATCATCCTCACCAGCGGCACCCTGGCCCCCGTGGCCTCCTTCGCCCAGGAGATGCAGATGTGAGGTCACTTCCTGTCCCCAGCCTCCGGCGCAGGGGCTGGGCTGTGGCCTCACCACCTCCCTCCCACCTGCAGCCCCTTCCCCGTGTGCCTGGAGAACCCTCACGTCATTGGCCAGCACCAGGTCTGGGTGGGCATCGTCCCCAAGGGCCCAGACGGGACCCAGCTGAGCTCGGCGTTTGACAAGCGGTAGGGGCGGGGCAGGAGGAACCCTGGGGGCCAGTGGGGGGGGAGAGGCCCGGGTGGGGCTGCCCAGCTCACGGCCTGTGCTTCCAGGTTCTCGGAGGAGTGCCTGTCCTCCCTGGGCATGGCGCTAGGTGAGACCCGCCTCCTGCCCCTCCCGGCGCCCACTGCCCTCCCCAGGGCCCTGACGCGCTCCGCCCGCAGGCAACATCGCTCGCGTGGTCCCCCACGGGCTCCTGGTCTTCTTCCCTTCCTACCCGGTCCTGGAGAAGAGCCTGGACTTCTGGCAGGTGTGTCCCGCCCTGGCCCCGGGATGCCCCAGGGTCCAGCTTGCCCGCCCCGTGTGAGACCCCTTGCGCCCTGCCCGTCCTGCAGGCCCGCGGCTTGGCCAAGAAGCTGGAGACCCTGAAGCCCGTGTTTGTGGAGCCTAGGGGCAAAGGCAACTTCTCCCAGGTTGGTGCCCCCACGTCCCCGTGGCCCCGGGCATGACCCTCTGCTGCCCCCCCCTGAGGCTCGGCTGTGCCTTCTCCCTGGCAGGTGATGGACAGCTACTACGCGCAAGTCGCTGCCCCTGGCTCCAGCGGGGCCGCCTTCCTGGCCGTGTGCCGGGGGAAGGTGAGGCCGCGCGGGGTCGCAGGTGGGACCTGGGGGGCGTGGGGTGGGGTGAGGCTCCAACGCTGCCCCTGCCTCCCAGGCCAGCGAGGGGCTGGACTTCGCCGACAGTAACGGCCGGGGTGTGGTCATCACTGGGCTCCCTTACCCACCGCGCAAGGACCCCCGGGTGGTCCTCAAGATGCAGTTCCTGGATGAGATGAGGGGACAGAGTGGGGCCGGCCAGGTGAGGGGCTGCCCTGGTGGCGTGGCTGCTCGTGGGGGGGCCTTGGGGCGGACTGGGCGTGGCCTCCTATGGGCGGGGCTCCTGACCCGGCTGTGGGGTGGGCGGGGCCTCCGACGCTGGTTGTGGAGCGGCCGACCCCCCTGGCCACCGCGCAGTTCCTTTCCGGGCACGAGTGGTACCGGCTGCAGGCGTCCCGGGCCGTGAACCAGGCCATCGGGCGGGTGATCCGCCACCGCCACGACTACGGGGCCGTGTTCCTCTGCGACCACAGGTGAGCTGCTCCCGGGCGGGGCGGGCCGGGCGGGGTGGGGGCTGCTGGCGTGCGGCTGACCCTGCCGCCCACCAGGTTCGCCCACCCCGACGCCAGAGCCCAGCTGCCCTCCTGGGTGCGCCCCCACGTCAGGGTGTACACGAACTTCGGCCACGTGGTCCGCGACGTGGCTCAGTTCTTCCGTGTCGCTCAGAAAACGGTGAGTGCAGGGCGGGGGGCCCTGGGGAGGGCGGGCCAGGGGCCCCGGGAAGCCCACCCAGCCGTGTCACCGTGCAGATGCCTGTGCCCGTGCCCCGGACTGTGACCCCGGGCCTCGCTGCCGGAGAGGGTGTCGTGCCTCCTGCGCCAGCCAGCCCTCTGCCCACAAGGAAGGCCCGGAGCCTGGACCTGCACGTGCCCAGCCTGCAGCGTGGAGATGCTGGTACCGGGCAGGGGGCGCGGTGGGGCTTCGTGGCTAGCGAGCGGGGCCACGGTGGGGGGGCGCGGGGGCCCTCCTGCGGTGCCGTCAGGACGCTGTCCTGCAGGGTCCCCGAGTTCCAGGGACGGGGTGGGCGGCCTGTGTGTGGAGTACGTGCAGGAGACGGGCCGAGGTCCGAAGAGGCCCGGGGGGCTGCTGGCCGCCCTGGAGCAGAGCGAGCAGCAGGCTGGGGAGGAGACGCCCCGCGGAGAGGAGGAGGTGGGGCTGGGGGCCGGGGCCGGGGCCGGGCGGGTGGAGCACCCCCCTCACCTGCACCCTGCCCCGGCCTTTGCCCAGAGCCTGGTGTCCCAGGGACCCCGCGCCCTGCCCGGCGCAGGGACCCCAACTCCCCTCCCTCCGCAGCGTGAGAAGAGACCAGCGGATCCCGCGGCCAGGCGGAGAGGCGGGAAGAAGAGGATCAGGCTGGTCAGCCGCCCGGTAGGGTCGGGGCGCCTGGGGGCGGGCAGACACCCCCGCCCCCAGCAGGCCTGCGCCGCTTCCCAGCACCTGACGCTGGGGCACTTGGGCCCCCGCGCCCCCCGCTGGGCAGCCTGGGCCCCGCGCTTCTCCCCTGCCCGGCAGCCGCCGGCCGCGGGCTGAGCCGACGGCCCCCAGCTCCCCGGGCACGGGCCAGGGCCGGCCCCCGGGCCGCCGCGTGCCCCGCTGCCCGGCCACTGACGGGCCGGCGGTCCGGCAGGAGGGCCCGGCGGACACGGCGCAGACGGAGAAGGCCCGGCAGTTCATGGTGGCCGTGAAGCAGGCGCTGAGCCCGGCCGCCTTCCAGGGCTTCACGCGCGCCCTGCGGGACTACAAGGCGGCCGACGACTTCCAGGCCCTGGGCGCCCGCCTCCGCCCCCTCTTCGGCGAGGACCCCCGCAAGCACGGCCTGTTGCAAGGTGCAGCGCGCGGGCGGGCGGGCGGGCGGGGGTCGGGGCGGCGGGAGCAGAGACCCCACGCCGGGCCTCCCACAGGCTTCCGCCAGTTCGTGCGCCCCCACCACAAGCAGCGCCTGGAGGAGCTGTGCCTGCAGCTGACCGGCCGGGGCTGCCTGCCCGGGCGCGGCGCCAGCGGTGAGCACGGCCCGACTCCCCCTTCCTGGGCGCTGCGGGGGTGGGGGGCCAGGGCGGGGCCCAGCCGGCGTCCTGAGCCCCCTGGTCCTTCAGGAAAGGCGGCGCCGCAGCCCACGCTGACGGCGTCCCAGGGCACGGCCGGGCAGCTGGACCTCGGAGAGCACCTGAACCGGGGTGGGCCGCACCTGGCCCCCGGGGCCACTGCAGGTGAGCAGGACCCCCGGGCTGGGGCGCGTGGTGGTGGACGTCGGGCAAGCAGGACCCCCTCGGGAGGGTCCCGCCGGCTGCTCGCTCCCCACAGAAGCCCCCCGGCCGGGGCCTTCGAGGGAGACCGCCGAGGGCCAGTACCTGGAGCGGGCGCGCACGGCCCTGGGGCCCGGGGGCTGTGACCAGCTGCAGGCCGCCCTGGCCGCCTACCGGCGGGACGGCGACCTGGGGACGGCGCTGGCCGTGGTGGCCGCCCTCACCACAGAGAGGCCCGAGGACTTCCCGCTGCTGCAGGGTGAGTGGGGGTCGGCCCTGGGGGCCCCGCCCCCCGGCTCCCCCGCTGCAGGGTGAGTGGGAGCTGAGCGCGGCCCCCACCCCCATCCCCGCAGGCTTCGGCGCCTTCCTGCAGCCGCAGCACCGGCTGCAGTTCCTGCAGACCTGCTCCGACCTGACGGGCCTGCCCGCCGGCCCCGGCCCCGAAGACCCGGGGAGCCCCGCCCGCGCCCCCGAGACCCCCAGGCCTGGCGGGTGACTGCTCCCTCGCCGGCGCCCCCACCGCTCCTCTGTCCCCAGGGAGCTGGACGTTCTCTTCCGGGGCCCCCGCTGCGCGGTGCCGCCCCTGCTGCAGACCCCCGGCGAGGCGGTCTGGCCCCAGCCCTGTTAGCCGGGACCCCTGGGCCTGCCCTCAGGCGGCCCCGCCAGCAAATAAAGCTCATGAGCAAAGTCCCAACCGCTCCTGGGAGTCGGCCTGGTGTGGGTGCCGGGCGGCCGCTCAGGCGCGAAGTGCAGCCAGGCCCCGAGCTTGGGGTGGGCTGGGAGCGCTGGCTGGTCACTGGCCCGGAGCCTCTGTCCCTGGTGCTGACGCGGCTTCCGCCAACCCGTCGAGGGACCGGATGGGCCCGACCCCGCAGCACCAGTCTCGGCACCCGACTGCTCAGCCCACGGCGCTGTCGCCAGCCGCGGGCAGGAGGGGCAGGGTTGGCAGATGGACCCCCCCAGAGCTCATTGAGGGGGAGGGGCACAGCACAGCCTGACCCCTGCGAGCTCCCTCCCCAGCACTGGTCCCGCCCCCTCCCTCTTCATCCCCCCCATTCTCCTGAGGCGGCTGGCTGAGAAGAGGCTCCATAGTTTATTTTTAGTCCCGGACCTCCGGCTGCGGCGTCTGGTCGGAGTGTGCCCTCCCCGCTCTGGGTCAGAGGGGCTGGGGTGGGGCTGGGAGTCCCTGGGGACAGGCCAGGGCAGTCCAGCTTCCTGGGGAACCAGCACCTGGGGAGGCCCCGGAGAGGGGCAGTGCCAGCCCCGACTGGCCTCCAGCACTGGCCCCGCAGGGCAGCAGAGGCCCACAGCCAGACCCTTCACTCCTGCTGGCGCGGGGCTCCCTCAGGGAACACCGCAGAGCATGCCCCCGCCTGGTCCTGAGCCCTGGCAGGTGCCCTGGGGTGGAGTGACTCGGGTGAGGGGGCCCTTGGGCTGGGCCGGCCCAGCCGCCCAACCCCTGCACGGAAGCCCCAGGCCTCACACGTTTCCAGACACAGGGAAGTTTGTCACAGAATCCAAAGCCTTTGGGACACGGGGAGAGGACCGGCTGGAGGGCAGCAGAGCCATGCAGGCCTATGTGATGTCCGTCTGCCGCGGTGGCCGGCGCAGGTTTCGCACCACACACTTCACCATCCACTCGATGCCCTCGCGCACGCCTTGGCTGCGGGGAGAAGGGGTGTGAGCACAGGCCTGCAGGACCCGGCCCTTAGGGGTCAGGCACTCACCCGGTGAGGGCCGAGCAGGCCTGGGTCAGGCAGTCGCGCCGGCCGATCTTGGACGTGCAGTCGCTGAAGGCTGTCTTGAGATCAGGGATGGAGAGGCAGGTCTGCAGGCGGGCAGGCGGGGCGGGGGTCAGGAGCTCCCTGGGCCCAGGCGGTCAGTCTGACGGGCACCCCCAGTGGGCAGAAGGTGCACTGCAGCCCACCCAGGCCCTGTGGGCTCACCTCCATGTCCTGCTTGTTGGCCAGCACCAGGATAGGCACACCGTCCAGAGCCTCACTCGTAACCATCTTCTCTGAGGAGGGCGGAAAGTTGGCCCATGCCCCTCTATCCTGCCCTGGGCCCAGCCTCCCGGGCGCACGGAGAAGGTGGTGCCCCCCACCCCTCTCCGCACCCACCAAAGGCCTGCTTGGACTCCGACAGTCTCTCCTCGTCTGTGGAGTCGATGACGTAGATGACGCCGTGGCACTCTGCGTAGTACTAGGGAACAGGGGCCACGGCTGAGCCACCGGCATGGGACTCCAGCACAGGCCCCAACCGGAGGGCCCTGACGTGGCTGCTGACCCAGGGCCAGCGCCTGAGGATTTGTCCAGCCTGGGCTGGGCCCACCGAGAGAGCCTGGGGGGGCCTCCTGGTGAGGAAGGGCAGGACAGGGCCACCGCAGGGCCCTCAAGCACTGCCCCCAAGCCTGGTGCTTCCCAGCTGGGCACACGCCCAAAGGACCAAAGCCCCATCACGGAAATGCCAGGGTGAAGGGACAGGCAGGGGGACAGAGCACCTCTGGCTGGGGACCTGTGGGGCCCCAGCAAAGCACCACCCGACCATGCCCGCCCCCAGAACCTGGGCCTGGCATCGCTGTGCTGCTGGTTCTGCAGGGCTGCGGCTATGGAGGCCTTGCTCTGCCCGTGTTAGACTCGTGTTAGACGGCGCACATCTCCGGCCCACACCTGCAGCGCACACCCGAGTTTATGCCTATGCTCACACCTGCGCTGGAGAATGTGGCACGGGCCCCACCCTGCACTGCTCGGGCCAGGGCAGAGCCTGTCCGCGCCCCCCCAGCAGGAACTCAGGGCCTCTGAAAGTAGCCCCCGGAGCAGAAAGGCAGGGGCTGGAGCAAGAGCGCAGCGGGGAGGCGTCTGCCTCGACGCGGCCGACCCAGGTTCGATCCCCGGCATCCCATGTGGGCCCCGAGCACCGCCGGCAGTGACTCGTGAGCGCGGAGCCGGGAGCAACCGCTGAGCATCGCCGGAGGCGGCCCAAGCAAGAAAGCGCAGGCGGCCGGGGGCGGGGGCACCCGGGCCGAGGGAAGGCGCTAGGGGCCCCGGGACCGCGGCGGGCAGCGGCCCCAGGTTCCGTTCCGGGGACGCGAGGCTCGCTCACCTTGTCCCAGAGGGACTGCAGCTCCTCCTGCCCGCCCAGGTCCCAGAACATGAGGCGCGCCTTGCCCACGTCCACGGTGCCGACTGCGGAGAGGGAGGCGCGGTGAGGGGGGCCCCGCCGAGGGGCAGGTGGCGGGAGCAGCGGGCGCCCCCCGACCCCGGCCTCACTGTTGAGCCCCACGGTGGTGGTGATCTTGGACAGGCTCATGCCCTTGTAGCTCCTGTTGAAGCGGGTCTTGGACTGCTCCAGGAAGGTCTGGGGGGAGAGGGCGGGTGGGCGGCGGCGCCGGGGAGGGGGCGGGGGCGCGGGCGGGGCGGGGCGCGCGGCGGCCCTACCGTCTTGCCCGCATTGTCCAGGCCCAGGATGAGGATGCAGTACTCGTCCTTCCGGAACACGTACTTGTACAGGCCCGACAGCAGCGTGTACATCCTGCCCCGCGCGCACCGCAGCGGGCGCCCCCGGGCCCGCCCGCCCGCCGCCCGCCGGCCTCCGGCCTCCCTCGCCCGCCGCGCCGACCCCGCGCCGACCCCGCGCCCCGCCCCGCCCCGCCCCGCGGGCCGGCCGGGCGCCCGGGCGCTGCGCACTTCCGGCGGCGCCGGCGCGGCGGAAGTGACGCGCCGGAAGGGCGGGGCGCTCTAGCCGCCCGGGCCGCGCTCTATGGCGGAGGCGCCGCGGGCCGGGGGCGGCGGGGGCGGCGGGGGCCGGGGGCGCCGATGGACGAGGCCAGCCTGGAGGCCGCGCTGCGGGCGGCGGGCGCGCAGCTGCAGCAGGTGGAGCGCGCCCTGGGCGCCGGCCTGGACCCCGCCGAGCTGGCCGACCTGCGGCAGCTGCGCGGCGACCTGCGGGAGCTGGTGGCGCTGACCGAGGCCAGCCTGGAGTCGGTCCGCCAGAGCCGGCGGCTGGCCACGCTGGCCGGGCCGGCGGGGGCGGGGGGCGCGGGGGCGGCGGGGGGCGCGGAGGCGGAGGACGCGGAGGAGGAGGAGGGGGAGGGCCCCGGCCCCGCGCCGGACGCCGCCCCCGCCGCCGCGGACCCCGGCCCCGACCCCGCCGCCTGGGCCGGCCGCACCGTGCGCGCGCCCTTCCGCGGCGCCTGGGGGCCCCCCGAGCACCACAACGCCATGGTGGTGGGCGCCGAGCCGGCGGGCGTGCGCGTGCTCTGCCTCTGCCCCACGCGCGCCGCGCTCAAGCCCTGCCCCTTCTTCCTGGACGCGCGCTGCCGCTTCCAGGACAGCTGCAGGTGAGCGCGACCCCCGCCCGCCCCCGCCCCCGCCGAGCAGCCCGGCGCTTAGTGACCACGGTGGGGGGCGGGGGCGCCGCCCCGACCACGGACGCCCGCGTGGGGGCTGTGCCCGGCCCGAGGGCTTGCGCCCCTGCGCAGGGCTTTCCGGCCGCGCCCCTCCGGCCTGGCCAGCCCCTGCCCCTGCCCCTGCCCCTGCCCGGGCGTTCGTCTGCAGGGCCGCGGGCCGGCGAGCCCCGCTGCGGGAGGTGGCGAGGTCGCGGGCTCGGGTCCAGGCCCTGCTGCTGCCGGTGCCCGCCGCGCCTCGCTGCTCGTCGTGTGGCTGTGCGCTGCCCCCGCGGTGCTGGCCGAGCCGCTCGGTCACTCCAGCGGGGCTCTGGGGACCGCCCGGGTGCGGCTAGCGCCCCCGGGGTGCTTGACCGAGAGGAGCCTCGGGCTCTGCTGTCCGCCGCTGCGGCGACCCGCACGCTCACCGGGACGCTCGGGCCGCCCCGCGCCGTGCCCCCGCCCCCGGGAGCTCGTCCTCGCCGTGGCCCTCGTGGGGAGACGGCCCTGCCCCGCCGGCCCCGGCACCGAGTGCTGCGTGTCGGCACGTGCCCCCCAGCCCCAGACGCCTCGACTTCCTGGACATCTGGGCGAGTCCCGCAGTGCAGGGCGGGGCCACGGGGACACTGCTGCGGTCGCCGCTGACCGCCGCCCTCTGCTGCGCCGAGCGCTCCTGGCCGCAGCCCCCCACGCCTTCGCTCGCTCCTTGGGCCGACCCGAGGCTCTTGAGCACCTTCATCCTCTGGCCGTGAAATGCTCTTATTCAGGATGGGACGGAGGAGGGGTGGACGCGTTCAGGGGAGGACGCAGGCTTCTCCGGGGCGAGGGGAGGCGGTGCCCGTCGGCTGGGCGGGCGGCCTCCTGCTGTTGGGGTCTGGGCGGCCCCCCGTGTTCCGTCCCTTCCCTCTGGTCTGGCTTGCTGCTGGCTCATCGGTGCCGTGGCTCGCGATTGTGTCTCTGCTGCCCCGTGGGCCCAGCCAGGGGCCAGGTGGCGGCTGCCTCTAGCCTAGCCAGGAGAGCACGTAGAAGCCTCTCACGGCCGCCGGTGTTGGCACCGGGCTGCGACCCAGCCCCCTGGCTCTGCCGTGAGCCCAGTCTGTCCGGACGGGGGGAGCGTGGCCAACCCTCCCCTCCCAGCCTCGGTCCTTCAGACTTGGGCTTGCGTGCCCTCCTCCGGCCTGGCCCACTCTTGGGCAGCATCTGGGTCATCTTCAGGGGTGGCCGCTGTTCCTGCCTCGGCCTCCTGCGCCAGACCCTGGCCTGCCACTCACGCCCAGCTCTCCGTTTCTTTCACCAGGGCCTTTGGGACGGGGCTGCGCGGTGGGACCCCTGCAGGTGACAGAGGTTGCTGTGAGACGCTGGAGGGTGTCTAGGGCACAAACGTGGGGCCACTCCGAGAGGGCTTTTCCGGCACTGGCTCCGCCCTCCAGCGCCCATGGCCCCGAGACCTCTGGCCACTCGCCTGGTACCCTCTCCTGGACTCCGGGCACGGCTATGGCTGTCGGGGTTGTGCCCTGTCCTGGAGACTGTGGTGGCTGCCGGCTCATGCAGCTTTTCCAGGGGCTCTGTGTCCTTTTTTTTAAAAAAAGTAATTTTATTTTATTTTTGCGCTTTGGGTCACACCCTGCGATGCTCAGGGGTTACTCCTGGCTCTGCACTCAGGAATCACTCCTGGCGGTGCTCGGGGGATCATATGGGATGCTGGGAATCGAACCCGGGTCAGCCACGTGCAAGGCAGATTCCCTCCCCGCTGTGCTGTTGCTCCAGCCCCTCCTCTGCATCCTTGAGGCGGCCACTGTTGCAGGGGGGCTGTGCACTGTCCCCTGTCTGCCCCCACTCCGGCCCGCGCCTGGCCCAAGGAGCGTGCGGGTTTGAGGTTTTGCTGTTTCGAGTGTGTTTGAGGAGGGTGTGGGCTGTACCCGTCAGTGCTCAGGGACTTCTGTGGTGCTTCAAGGGCTGAGCATTACGGGGCTCGTACCCCAGCCTTGGGCTCAACCCTCTTCGCCCTTGCCCCGCCCTTCAGGGTGTGGTGTTGCCCCAGATTCTCCCAGACCGTGCGTGCTCTGTGAGTATGTCCAGTAGTAGGGGACTTGGTGGCTATCTCGGCAGCTGGTCCTGCCTGGTACTCAGGAGCCCAGGCCGGGCACCCCAGCAGAGGAGAGCGGGGCTGCTCCTCCCCCTCCTCTTTGGTTTTTCAGCACACTCAGGCACTCGGGTCATTTCTGGCGGGGCCCCGGGTGTGAGGTGCTGGGCAGCCAGCCTGGTCAGCTGTGTGCAAGGCCCTCCGCGCTGTCCTGCCGCTCCGGGCACGACCACCCAGGGGGATTGGGCTGCGCCCCGCATGGCCGCTGCTGCTCCTCCTGTCCTGGAAGGCCCCGTGTCCCCCGCAGCAGACGCCCAGGCAGGAGCCTGTGTGCAGTGTGTACGCTGCGTGGGTGTGTGCACGTCTGCAGCGCAGTGTCCAGGCTCGGTCTGTGCCGCGTGTGAAGCTGCCCTGCTGCCCTCCCAGGTTCTCCCATGGGCAGGTGGTTTCCGTGGACGAGCTGCAGCCCTTCCAGCCCCCAGACCTGAGCTCCCTGCAGGCTGGCTCTGCATGCCTGGCCAAGCACGAGGACGGCCTCTGGCACCCGGCCCGGGTCCTCGGTGAGCCGCCCTGCCGCCCTGCTGCGACCCTGTGGTGCCCGCGGCGTGGCCTGACCCCCAGGCCCTCGCTGGTGCCTGGCTTTGTCTGCAGACGTGGACAGCGGCTACTACACGGTGCGCTTCGACACCCTGCCGGTGAAGGAGGCTGTGCTGGAGGGGGACAGTGTCCTGCCTCCGCTGCACGCCGAGCCCCCCGCGTCCTCCGACTCAGAGGGCAGCGACACGGATGATGCCAGCTACGCCCGAGGTAGGTGGAGGGGCAGAGCTGTGCAGGCCCTGCGCCGTGGGTGCAGGCGCCCACCCCTCGCTGGGCGCTGCCTGTTCTTGCAGTGGTGGAACCCGACGCGGCCCCCAGCGGGCCCTGCAGCTCCGCCTTTGGCGGCTGGGAGGTGCACACGCGCGGCGTCGGGTCTCGTCTTCTGGCCAAGATGGGCTACGAGCCTGGCAAGGGTGAGTGCGCGTGGCAGCCGTGCCCTCCCTGTGTGCCCACAGTGTGCGCCGGGCGTCCCCGGCAGAGGCCGCCGGCGCCCACAGCCACCCTGCCCGTGTGCCCCCAGGTCTGGGCCCGCGGGGCCAGGGGCGGGTGGAGCCCATCCACGCTGTGGTGCTGCCGCGGGGCAAGTCGCTGGACCAGTGCGCGGAGATCCTGCAGAGGAAGACCAAGGGCGGCCAGGCCGGCGCCCCCAAGCCCCCCAAGAGTCGGAGGCGTGGGGCCGGGGCTGGGGCTGGGGGCCGCTCGCCCCCTCGCAGCGTGTTTGACTTCCTGAACTCCAAGCTTCAAGGCCAGACTCCAAAGGCGCCCCCGGAGGCAGGAGCAGCGCCCCCTGGCGGGAGAAAGAGGGGCGGCAAGGACTTGTACCACGCGGGCAAGAGCGCCAAGCGGGCCCTGGGCCTGGAGCTCTTCCACACGCAGGAGAAGATTGAGCAGGCCCTGAAGGACATCAGGGGCATCCAGGAGGCCCTGGTCAGGAACTCTGGCCGGTAGGTGGCACCGCGGCAGCCCTGACAGCGGGCGGGCGGGGTGCTGGGAGGGCCCCCGAGCCCCCGGTGACCGTGGAGCCCTCCCCAGGCACGGCGTGACCGTGGCCCAGCTGCAGGAGAAGCTGGCTGGGGCCCAGCAGCACCTGGGCCGGCTCCGAGCCCAGGAGGCAGGCCTGCAGCAGGAGCAGAGCAAGGCAGACACGCACAAGAAGATGACCGAGTTCTAGACCTGCGGACTCAGCCCGGGAGGACCAGCAGCACCGCGGGGGAGGGCGGCCGGGGCTGCTTCCAGGGACATTAAAGACGTTCTGTTGTTTTCCGCTGGGGTCCCGGCTGGGTGCGGACAGGCCAGGAGGGTGGGGCTGCTGGGTGCCCTTTCCACATGGGCTCTGCCCAGCCTGGGAGGCTGAGAAGCAGCCCCGGGGCTGCGCGCCCAGAGGCTAAATTCGGCCCCAGGGCCTGAGCCTCTCAGTCCCCCCTCCCCCCATCCGCCCCCTCCAGGGTCGGCCATGCGCACAGCCACTGCAGTCTGCACCCCCAGGCTGGCCCTGGACTGAGCGCCCGCTGATGGTGGACTGGTGGGGGGTGCAAAGCTGCTGTCACTGCCCGGTCACAGGACAGGGCAGAAGCGGGCGCCTGACCTTGCTGAACGCCTGCCGGACTCCAGCAGCGAGCTGGGTTCTGGAGAAAACTTCAGATCTCGGTGTTCCTTCCCCTCCAGAGATCCGCCCTCCACGCACACGCCCTGGCCGTCTGCTGACCCCTGCCCTCGGCAGGAGGCTGGGGGGCCCAGGCCCTCAGGCCAGGGTCAGAGGTGCTGGCTCACGGGAGGGGGGGGCACCTAGGTCTGGGGGCTCTGAGATGGGACCCAACTCATGGGGGCCCTGAGGTGCGGCTCGGTCTTGACTTCAACTGTAAGTGACCCCGGCCTGGCGTGGGCCCTTGTTGGCCCCGCAGAGGAGGATGCAGTAGCGCAGCCGGCGGGAGCACGTCCAGAGTGGACAGCGCTTATGTCCCCGGCTGTGCCTGCCAGAGGGACGTCATGTGCTCCAGGTGACCGAGCCGAGGCAGAGGGGCCAGAGCCCGCTGCAAGCCCGCAGGACAGCCGCGCTGGCCGCCCTCTGGACGCGCGAGCACCGAGCACCGCACCGGGGGCCGTGGGGGCCTCGACTGACTCCCGACTCCCGGCCCCCGGCCCGCCAATGGGAGCGCGGGAGGCCCGGCGCGCGGGCCAATGGGAGCGCGGGTCGGCCTGCGCCTCGGGATTGACGGGCGCGCGGGCCAGTAGGCGCCCTCGGGGGCGGGGCCCGCACAGGGCGGACGGGCGGCGGCCTCGGCTGGCCCCGACCACGCAGCGCCGGGCTGAGTCTCCGCGCCGTGGACGGTGCGGGTGGGCTGTCCGGCCGGGGACTCCTGCATAGCCTCGGGCCCGCGGACGGCGAGGGGTCCTGGGGACCCTCTCAGTGACCTCCGAGTCCCCAGGAAAGGCGGCATGAGGTCAGAGCGCCGGAGAGCCCGGCTGTTGCCCTCAGCCCAGTGGACACTTGGCGGCCTGCTGGATGGGGTGGGGGCGGCGAGCCCCCTGTGACCCGCGGAAGTGTCCCCCTGGGGTTGGGACCCCCCCCCGGCAAGTGCCCGAGAAGCCCCTTCCCTCCCACCGTCCTCCGCCCGTGCACTTGCCCAGCCCGACTGTCCACTGCGTCCGGGGCCAGTGGCACGTCGGCGCTTCGGAAGACACAGGAGGCGAGGCCGGAGCAGCAGATCCCACTTTATTGAGCCAGTCCCGTCACAGAGAGCCGCACCCCGGGGTGCCCGCCGCCTGCCCACGTTGCAGAAATAAATACCTCGGGGCAGCACCCGGCACCCACCGCGGCAGTGGGGGCAGCGCCCGGCACCCACGCAGCAGCGGGGGCAGCGCCGAGCTCGAGGGCCTGGAGCTAGCAGGGCCGCGGGCGTGGCTTCCCCGAGTGGCATCACACCGGGCTGAGAGAAGCTTGCTTCCGCATCGCAGCAAGTCCCAGTTTCTGCATTTCTCAGTCCTCTTCCACAGGGAGATGTGCAAAGTCGGAGCAGTGGCCGCCGCGGCGCCTGCACTGGTGTGACTGACCCCCAGGCCCAAGACGGGCGCGGGGTCTCCAGACGCCCACCCACCCTCGCCGTCTCCACTTTGGTGCTGTGAACACCAACACGCACACACAAACAAAAGGTACAAAATGTGAAATGTCACCTACACGTTTCTCCTCTTCATAAAAAAATATTTATTAAACATCGATTTAAAAAAAAAATCATCACATAAAAAACCCTCGTCCTCGAGGCTTCCTGCCGTGCTTGCTGGCAGCCGGCCGAGCCGGTCCCTTGCAAATCTTCCCTTGGGCGGGTGTGCAGCTCTGGCCACGCGCCCAGTCGGGACCCTGGCAGCCCCCCGAGCATGATGACCTGAGAGCAGAGCCGGGGCTGTGCCCTGGCCAGAGGGCGGCTCTCCCCATGCCGGGGTCTGCAAAGGCTCCTGCAGGAACACAACAGGGACAGTTGTCCCCGACGGTGCTACCAGGTAGCTCCGGGGACAGTCAGAATTCCGTCCCTGTCCCGACAGGGGCAGCTGCCACCCGCGGAAAGCAGGTGGACCCCACGGCAGGTTTGGCGCTGGGGTGGAGGCTGTGGGAAGTGCAGGGGCTGCGGCAGGCCTGACCTCCACCAGTGCCCCTGGCTGGACACCTCAGAGGGGGCCTGAGCCAGGCGGCGGCCACACACGACCTTCAGACACCACCACCCCATCAGGCCGTGCCCAGATTAGCAGCAAGAAGGCCAGCAGGGCAGCCCCTGCGAGTGCACAAAACGGGGGCCGGGCCTGGGTTGCTGCCCGGAGATAGCACCTGAGCGGGCACAGCCAGGCGAGGGGGCGCCCCCACAGCGCTGCGGGGGCCGGCCCAGGCCCCACCTCGGTGCCGAGGGCACCTGCCGCTGCGTCCGGGGGAGCAGGTGAGGTGGGGAGCCGAGAGCGGGGGCTCAGGACACCCAGGCCAGGTCCTTGGGGGCCCCCTCCAGCTCCTCGGCCTTGTCCAGGGAGTCCTCGTGGGCCAGCCCCACGGCCTCCTTCCACCTGGCCTCATCCTCGTCCTCCTCCTCGCCCTCCTCCTCGCCCTCCCCACGCGGGTCTTCGGGGCCGTCCAGGTAGGGCCCCTCCCCGGGGAAGAGCTCAGGGGAGCCCTCGGCCCCGGGGCCGTCGAGGGGCCCCGCCGTGCCGCGGCCGGCGCAGTCCGCACACACGCCGTGGCGCCGCGAGCCGTGCTTGATGCCCACGCTGGCGGCCGACACGAAGGCCCGGCTGCACAGTTTGCACACGTACTTCTTGTCCTTGCTGTGCACCTGCGGGGAGACGCAGGCCGGGCCGTGGGGACAGGGCAGGCAGCCGCACCCTGCCCGCACCCCTGCCCCGGGGCCTCACCCCACCCCACCCCGCGCCCCTGGCCTCACCCCTGCCCCCGGGCGCCACCCCGACCCTCACCAGCGTGTGCCGCTTCATGTGCTCGCGCCGCGTGAACTTCTTGCCGCAGATGTCGCAGGGGTAGGGCCGCTCGCCCGTGTGGGAGCGCATGTGTCGCTTGAGGATGCACTGGTGCATGGCCGAGAAGCTGCAGTACGGGCACTTGAACTTCTTCCTGATGACCGTGAACTCGTTCACTGCCAACAGCCAGCAGAGGGCATCAGGGTCAGCCCCGCGGACGCCATGGCCCCCCAAGGCCCCTAGGCCCCTCAGACGCCCACAGAGACCCCCACGGGTCCACCACCCCCTGTGACTCTCCCCTTGGCCCTCACAACCCCACACAGGCTGTGACCTCAGCTGAAGCTGGAGGAGCAGACCGGCCACTGGACTCGAGTGGGCGCCCCCCTGCAGGTTCTGGCCCGTGGGCCAGAGCACACAGGAGCCGCAGGACCCCGCACAAGCCCCCAGGCGAGGGAAAGGGGCGAGGGTCAGCCCAGGAGCGGCTGTGGGCGGCGAGACGCTGGCCTCACACGGGCACGCCCGGCCCCACCGACAGACCCCCGAGCCCGCCAGGATGGTTCCTGAGCACACTTGCCGCTCCTGGGTCCCGCTCAGGACTGCACAGCAGGCCCTGGGGCAGCCTGTGGACGCTCGGACACGGCCCCAGGGGAACGTGGCCCTGGGTACCAGGATTGCTGTTCCTGTTTTCTTTGCCTTTGGGGCCACACGTGAAGACCCTCAGGGCTTACTCCTGGCTCTGCACTCAGGGATCACCCCTGGTGGGGTCAGGGGGCCGTACATGGCGCTGAGGGTCAAACCGCGCCAGCCACGTGCAACACAAGCGCCCTCCCTGCTGTCTGTCTCTTACCCGCCAGCCATGACGCGCACAAGCACCTAGGCCACCTGGGCACTCAGTGTCCGGTCACTAGACCCCCAAGTCATGTGGGCACTCAGAGCCTGGGTCCCACAGATACTGAGTGCCCGGGTGATGTGGGCAGTGAACTCTGGTTTCTTCCAACTGTGCTGTCCTTCTCCCGGAGTCTCTGGAATGGCGGGACCACCGTGTGGTTTCCAGGTGTGTCTTCTGTCCAGGGACACAGGCTGTGCCCAGGCACCACGCCCGCTTCTCCAGGGAGCTTGGTGGCGTTTCTCTGGGGTCTTTGCAGTTTCACGTGTTCTGAGTGACTGGTCCCAGGTCAGCGACCCTTCATGCTTGCTTCAGCCAAGAAATGCATGAACCCCCAGAGTCCAGGAAATTGCAGTCGTGTTTTGTTTTGGGGTCACACCAAGCAATGCTCAGGGGTTGCTCCTGGCAGTGCTCCGGGACCATACGGGATGCCGGGGATTGAACCCGGGTTGGCTGCGAACAAGGCAAATGCCCTCCCCGCTGAACTATCGCTCCAGCCCCGAACTTTCATTTGGGTGGAAGAGGTTTTGCCTCCCGCCAAGACCCCCTTGGTGCCTCTCACGGGAGCTTGTGACGTTCAAACCAGCCACCCCAGGCCCAGGCCCTGCTCCTGCCTGCAGACCCCGTCGGCCCTGCAACACCCACCCCCTCCGGAACAGATCTGACGCCTCCTTCACGGGGGTCTCCTCAAGCTGGGCCATAGTGCTGCCCCCTGGGAGCACCACTCACAGCTCTCAGGGGACGGATGTGAGCTGACCCCCGGGAGTGCGGGCGTGTGCCCTCTGCTCTTCCAGGACCAGCCGGAGGGCCTCGTTACCCCCGAGGGCCCTGGACTGGGCCACAGCTGCAAGTGCCAGGCCCCCTCCTGCCCTGTGGCCCACATGGACCCCTCTGGGCACTCCACACCCTGCACCTTCATACTGGCTGCTTGAAGACATTTGCAGGGGCCCACACAGGCAGGGCTGGGGCTCCACGAGGGGCCAGGGGCCGCCTCCCAGCCCGACTAGCAGCCACGGGGCGACGGGCAGCGGCCAGCCTGTCTGCCTTCCAGTTGGCGCTCTTCTCCCTGCTGCTCTGTTGGTCGGGTGGGCTCACTGTGCAAGTGTCTGTCAAGGCTGAGTGTCAGCGGCCGGCCTCCTCCTGCGAGCTGCCTGGCCTCCTGAGCTGGGCCACCGTGTCCCCTCACTTGGTGAGGTGACTGAGCGGTGACGCCGTCTCCCCATGCAGATGTGGTAAGCTGCAGGGTTCAGTCCCACGGGGGGTGGCATCTGCAGGCAGGTGCTGGGCCATGGACCCCCGAGGCGGACAGGCATCAGCTGGCCGGGCCATGGGACGCCGGGAGAAGGCCCGGCTCCAGGCGGTCCCGGCAGGAGCTGCCTGCATAAGCGGCTCCCACCCCTCATCGTCCAGACACCTCGGCTGCGGCTGCTTTTTAGACGCCACTGGTCACTGGTCGTATCTTGGCCTGGTCCATCTTCTCAACGTCCTGCATCTCCTGCTGCCGCTGGGCTCCGTGCGCTATTTTCCTCTCCACCTCCGAGCCTCAGGTGAGACCCTCCCTCCTTCCTAACGTCCCTCAAACCCCATTTCCACACGGCCTGCCTCTTCCTCATCCTCCAGCTCAAGGCATTTCAGCTTCCACAGCTGCAGCTGGCTGGTCAGGCCAGGACTCGGCCGCTGGCCTGCACCGCAGCGGGAGCACCCTCGGCTCTGGGCGGAGCACTGCCAGATGGGCTCCCCGGCCCCAGGGGTCCCCAAGTAAAACGTTCTTGATTTCCAAACACTTGTGGCGGACTCTAGTACCCAGTGTGGCTGACTTGGCACCAAGTTTCTCTGAGGCTCCGGGGGTGGGGGGAGGGGCACTAGGTGGACAGTCGGTGGGCCGGAGGTAGTGGAGCGGCCGAAAGAGGTGGTGGGCAGGACAGAACAGGGCCAGGGAAGACCGCAGATGGGACAGGGCGGTGGCGCGGGGAGGGTAGTGGGTGGGCGAGAACAGTGGCCGAGGCGGTGCCCTGGGGCCGCCCGCAGAGCTCGCCTGCCGGACGGCGCCTTCCCGGTAACCAGGGTCAGTGCCTGTCCACGCTCCAGGAGCTTGCCAGGCACGGCGAGGCCCCGGCTCCGCCCCCCACGCCCCTCACGGCCGCTTCCCCTCGACTGGGCTGCACGCCACGACGTCACCGACGTACACGGCCGCATACTGCAGTGACGTCACAGGGCACGGGCGGCCCGTAGCGGCGATGACGTCACGGCCCACGGGGCCGCGGTGACGTCACAGGACATCCCGGCCACACCCCCCACCTGGTCCGGGCCCGTCAGGCTGGCCGGGGCGTCCGCTGGGGTGGGTGCCGGGGCCGTGGCTCCCCGTGGTTCTAAGGAGGGCCACGTGGTGCCGCGGCCAGTGGCCCTGAGGCTCTGGGGAGTGCACGGGCCCTCGCGGGAGGAGACCGGGCACCGCGATCACAGAAGCCCATGGAAACTGCTCTGACTTTAATAGGAACCGACCGAACCGCGCAGGGGAACTCCCAGCACCCGCCACAACGCCCTCCGACGGCGAGGTCTTGCTGTGGGGCTGTGGGCGCGGGACACAGCCCGGGCCCACCCTCCAGGTCAACGCCCCGGACACGCCTCCCGCGGCCCGGCACGGGGCTGGGCTGCCGGTGCTGGGGTACGGCTCTGTCGTGCCACCGGGCTGGCAGGGAATGCGCTGCCCTGTCCACCCCAGGCTCCCTAGCGGGTGTCCAGCTCGGTGAGGGGGTGTGGCTCCCACACAGCAGTGACATCACTTCCTGGGACAGGGGCTGCTGCCAGGCGGGGGATGGGCACCAGCTTCTGGGCACTGGAAGTGCGTCTTTGGCTTCTCCCAACGTGCTGCCCAGGAGAAAGCTGGTTTGTGGTGGGCACTGCCCTGGACTGAGGTCTGTGCCCACGACCTGCAGGGGTGGCCAAAGCAGCCCCCCAGGCACATCCTGGCCTTGGGTGGCCATTTCAACAGACCCTATTCCAACAGAGCCCCCATTCCAACTGAGAGCCCCCTGAGAGCCTGGGAGGCCCCATGTCAGGCTGGCCGGCAGGGGCAGGGCTCTATCCTCCTGCTCCTCGCCACACTGTGACCTCAACACCGGCACGCTGGGCCAGCAGCACCCACAGCCATGGGCGCTGGGCACGGGTGGTACCTCCCACGGGAACTGGTCAGCCAGCAGGCGACTGGCCCTCCTGGTGCGGGACAGGTCTCCCTGAAGTCAGCCCAGGCCACCAGCTGTCCTGCTGGCCCTGTGTCCCACCCAAGCAGCACCACACGCCACCCCAGAGAGATCCGGGGACTGGCCATGCGGGACCTAGCCGGGAGAGGGGGGGAGGGGAGGCTGGGGCAGGAAGCCAACCCGACAGGCCCAGGAGCAGCCTGCCTGGGAAGGGCTGGGCAAGGCTGCCAGAGCTACGGGAACAAGGAGCCTTTCTCTAGACAGTTCCAGAAGCAAGCACCCTCTAGAAGGTTCCAGAAAGAACCTCCGTACACTGGTCCTGGTCACTGTCCTTTCCATGGTTCTCTCATTAGAAATCTCCAACTAGTTTGTTCCCGCCTCAACCTGGGCTGTCACAGTCACAAAGTCCAGAGCCCGGAGATGGTCGAGGGGCAAGGCCTGGCCTTGCAGGCAGCTGACCCGGGCTCGATCACTGGCACCGCACAGGGTCGCCCGCCAGCAGCAGGAGTCAGGCCTGGGCACTCTGGGTGTGACCCCAAGCCCCACCCCAAATGAACGCAGCTGTTCCCCAGCTCAGAGTCAGGCCCGGGACTCAGTGAGACTCCCCACAGCGCCCAGCCTCCCTGGCTCCAGGGGCTCCCAGAGGGGCAGGCGGGGACCAAACCACCAGAAGTCAGTGCTGGTAGCCGCAGAACATCCTGTTTCAAACTAGAGTGAAGACCACAAAGACCCCCCAATCTCCATCCTTCGCGTGGGCGCTCAGGAAGTCTCCCCAACCGCTGTGGCACCCAGGCCCATCACGAGGATAAGGCTCTGGGTGCAGGAGGGCACCAGGGGACCACCCCAGGGGGCACACAGTCCTCTGCCTGGCTGGGCACCTGCGTTTGGATGCGCCAGTCAACTCCTTCTAAAATGCTTGGCACCTGTCTACGGCTGGACATGGCTCTGGGCTCCTTCATGCACCCATACCTGCACATGTGCGCACACACACACGTACACATGCGCACATATGTTTACACACAGGCATGCACACATATGCACATGCGCACATACACGCACACACATGCCTGCACACACACGCACGCATAGGTGCGTCATCCAAAAATGGGCGCTGGACCGCTAGGTGCAGAGTCATGTCCACCCCTGCTCAGCAGGACGGCACCAGACGCCTCTTCCAAGGCCCCGCCCTGTGCCTGACCGCGGGCAGCCGGGCACTTACAGGACAGGCCATGGGCGCCGGGTGGCAGGCACTCCAGCAGCAGGGAGCTCTCCTCGCTCAGGACGTCGGCCTTGAGGGACAGCAGGCTGTTCTTGCTCAGGAGCGCCGCCCGCAGGTTGGCCACTGCGGCGGCCTGCTGCAGTGCCTCGTCCTTCTCGGGGGTGAGCGGCGGGCCCAGGCAGCTGACGTCCCCTCCCAGGAGGCTCTCCTCCACGTGTGCATAGAGGTCGGCCCTGTCCCCGTGCCTGTCAGGGCCGCCGGCTTCAGGGATGGCCAAGTCTGCACCTGAGGGGAGATACGGGGGACGGTCACCACCAGGCCACAGGCCCAAGGACACGCAGCCGGGCTCCATCAGAAGCCCCAGAGATTCGGGCTCAGCCGGCATGCCGACCCGGGAGCCGATGGTCCACGCGGAGAGGAAACGGCCACCCTGGAGGGGCAGAGGGGACAAAGAGCTGCACAGCACGAGTCAGGCCAGGAGCGAACCCAGCAGCGACCGTGGGAGGAGCCACACTCGGCGCCTGCAAACCTGGCTGCATGAGGGCTAAGGGGCACGGGCGAGAGCCATGGCACGGGAAGGGCACTGGCCTTGCATGCAGCCAACCAGGCTCGATCCCCAGCACCCGAATAGTCCCCGAGTGCTGCCAGGAGCGATTCCCAGTGCAGAGCCAGGAATAACCCACTTGGGTGAGGCCCCCAAATCAAAGAAACGATTCCTAAAAACTGGCCGCATGCCAAGCTCCGGCTGCCCTGGGTCAGCCTGGGGAGGTGGGCATGAGCACCACTGGGTGAGGTTCGCCCTCAAAAGAAAAAAGCTGGGCTGCAGAGACAGGATGGGTCGGGCGCACCACACTGACCAGCCCCACACAGGGTCCCCTGAGCCCAGCTGGGTGTGGCCCCAAAAAACCCAGCAAGAAGTCCAGACTGGAACTGGGCTGAGGGCAGCTGGTGGGGCTGCAGACTCCGCCCACTTCCCAGCATGCAAGACAGAGGGGGCTTCTGAGAGGACAGTGCTGGTAGCAGGAGGGGTCCAGCTTCCGCCCTTCTCCACGCCAGAACGCTCCGGGCAGATGTCCTGCCTGCCCAGGGCTGTGCCCGGCCCAGGGCTGGGGCTGGGATGGTGGGTCGGGGACACCCACGGCCCTGCCGCAGAGTGGCGATCCCAGAGTCCCCACGAGCACCATCTGCAGGAGTGGGCCCCTCACCACGCCCACACCCGCTGGCCCCAGGAGGGTGGGGTCAGGCGTCTCCGAGGTGAAGTCCGTGAAACAGAGACAAGAGACGGCCAGGCCTGAGCCTGGCCCAGCAGGACTGGAAATCCGGAGAGCTGTCACTGTTGCTATGGTGATGCTGGGCTTCCCTAGCACAGCCAGCAGGGGCTTGGGGGCACGGCTGCCCCGGCCCCACCCAGCACCTGGGGCACGTCTGCCCCCATCTCCCTTGGGGGCTCTTCTGCCTCCCCAGTCCCCTGGGGTACGTCTGCCCCTCCCCCGTCCCCTGGAGGCACACCTGTCCCCTGTCCCCCCAAAGCCCGGCAACCACAGGCCCAAGCTGCTCCCCAGGCTTGGACCATGAGGCACGGGCACTGCAGCTGGGCCGCAGGCTGGAGGCTGACGGGGCCCGCAGCCCCCACCTCAGCCCAGATGTCTCTGCAACCCCCTCCCCAGCTGTCGGGGGCACAGCTGGTGGACACAGGGCCCGCGGCACTGCCGGCACCTGTCGGGGTCTGCTCTGAGACCATGGCGATGGCAGCTGCCCTTCTGCATAGCGCCAAGGGCAGGGCTGTCCACCGGGGCACACACAGGCTCGCAGGGCCATGTCCGGGGCGAGGCCCGGGCGGCAGGGGGGGATCGCCAGGGTTCCCACACTCCTGCTGCAGGCCCAGAAGACTTGGGGATGCACAGTGAGCCCTGCCCAGCAGCTGGACACTCACCACCAGGGCGCCAGCTCCCCTCCTCGCTGCGGGGTCTCCACCCGTCACGCACTCTCTCTTCCACCAAGCGGCCCCCTCTGCCCCCCGTCGAGCCCCGCACCCACACTCCCCCAGAGGAAGGGAAGCCGGACCACTGACAGCAGGGAACAGGAAACGTGCCCGGCCGAGGTGCTCTGTGGGCCCACACCCTCCAATCCAGGCGCAGGCAAACTACTGCAACTATGCGTGGCGTTCTCACGAGCATCATGCAACTGACACACATGCTAACCATGGGCGCTGAGCCACAGGGCTGGGGGGACGCGCGGTCCTTGCAGTCCTCCTTCGCTTTGTCCTTCCAAACTTTGGGGCCTCACCGGGCAGCGCTCAGGTCTAGGGGGATCATAGGTGCTGCTAGGTATGAAAACCGGGTTGGCTGCTTGCAAGGCAAGTGCCCTACCCACTGTACCCTCCCCCTGAGCCCTCGTTTCGGTTTTGAGCTGTTGCGGGCTGCTAACCCAGAACCCCGGATGCAGCTCGGAGCCTGCGGGACGCCTGGGTTCCACCCCAGAATCGCATGAAAGACGGAAATGAGATCACGGCGTCGGCAGGGCAGTGCCTGCGCCTGGCAGCCCCTCCCGAGAACGACCCGCACCCCACCTGCCCGGGACGGGGAGAGGCTCACCCGGGTCTCGGCTGCCGAAGGGCCAGGTGGATGCGGGCAGGAAGGACGGCACCGGGGAGCCGGGCCGGCTCCCGTCCCCCGCTTGCTGCGTGATGTGCCTGACTGTCTCCTTGTTCTTCCTGTTCTTCCTGCGGCCCGCGGGCTGCCAGCTGTCGCCGCCGGCCTGCTCCGAGAAAGGGTTCTGGGCGCCGGCCTGGGCGCAGGGCGCCTCGCTCTCCCCGTACGGAGCCGGCGAGACCTGCTCCTCCTTGATGGACAGGGTCCCGCAGACCACGGCGCCCGGCCACAGCGCGGTGGCGCCCAGGTCCTCGGCACCCTCGGCCTTGGGCTCGGGGTCCTCCTTCCCGCAGCTGCTCCCGCCCTCGTGGCAGCTGGCGATGGCCGAGTCCCCCGAGGAGTTGGTGGGGCTGGTGCGCCGCGCCAGCCACGGGGAGATGCTCCTGCCGGCCATCACGGCCGAGATGAGCGCGTCCGCGCCGCCGCCCGCGCCGGCCACCTCGAACTCGGCGAGCTCGTCCGAGGCGTCGGGCTTGATGCTGATGTCCAGGGCGGCCTTGATGAAGTCGTGGCAGGCCTGCACGATGTCGGTCATCTGCAGGAAGCTGGCGGCGGACATGACCTCGATGACGTTCCTGCTGGTCAGCGCCAGGTGGGCCGAGTACATGAAGTCGATGATGGCCTGGAAGCCCTGGGCCGTGACGATGTCCAGGTGGGTGACGGTGGCCTGGCCGGGCGCCCTCTGCGCCTGGCAGTACAGCGTCTTGAAGTAGCGGCTGCTGCCCAGCAGCACGTTCTTGTGCGCCCGGAAGACCTTGCCCTCGACCACCACGCAGGCGTCGCACAGGATGCCGTGCTGCCGCTGCTCGTCCAGCTCCCGCAGCAGCTGCCGGTAGTGGGACGCGATTTCCATATCTTCCCCGTGGCTGTGCATCCGAGCGGTGGCCTACGGACACTGTGGGGAGGAGAGGGTGAGCGGGGCGGGTGGGGGGGCAGGGACAGGCGCGGCCCCGGACCACGTGAGCACGTGAGCACGGGGGCTCTGGGCACACAGGGCGACGTCCCAGAGCCGAGGACAAGCCCACGGGCACTGGGTCCCCGCACAACGGGGCCAACCCCCCCAGCCCACCTAAGGACTCCCCTAGGTGGGAAGGGCCCAGGGAACCGGGGAGGAAAGGGCAGAGCTGGCACACATGACAGCTTCACAGGCGGAGGCCAGGGCTGCTGGGGCGATTCCAGCCTCCGCGGGGCTGTCAGGGCTGGGCAGACACCCTCGGTGCCCGGGCTGCTGCAAGTCCCAAGAGCACGTCCGCTAGGCCCCGCCCACACCAGCCCTCTGCTTCGCGCCAGGCCCCGCCCACGCCCCTCACCACGCCCACCGCACCCAGGCCCCCCCACACCAGCCCTCTGCTGCATGTCAGGCCCTGCCCACACCCAGACCCCGCCCCTCGCCACGCCCACCGCGTCCAGACCCCGCCCACACCAGCCCTCTGCTGCAGTCAGGCCCCGCCCACACACGCCCCTCCCACCCCACCCAGACCACGCCCACACCCCGCCCTCGCCACGCCCACCGCACCCAGGCCCCCCCCACACCAGCCCTCTGCTGCAGGTCAGGCCCTGCCCACACCCAGACCCCGCCCCCTCGCCACGCCCGCCGCGTCCAGACCCCGCCCGCACCCAGCCCCCGCCCACACCAGCCCTCTGCTGCATGTCAGGCCCCGCCCCTCACCACGCCCACCGCATCGAGGCCCGCCCACACCAGCCCTCTGCTGCATGTCAGGCCCCGCCCACCACCGCCACTCCCACAGCACCAGGCCACGCCCCCTTGCCACCACAGCTACACCACCCTACCCCCACCTCTCTGCGCTTACCCCCGGTTCTGTTTCGTCCCTGGCTACGGCATGGCCACGCCCCTCCAAGTCCCCCTCGCACCCTGGCCCATCCAATGTCGCCAGTCTCCTTGGCGACGTCAGACAGGAAGGAAGAGTGACCTCAGGGAGACCAGGCCACTCTTCCCGGCCTGCCTGCGCGGTGGGGACGTGACCCTGAGGGCCCAGAGGCAGCTCCCTCGGCTCGGTCCGGAGGAGGCGCGGCCAAGGAATGGGCGGGAAGGGCTGGCAACCGAGCCAGAGGCTGCTGTCCCGCTCAGACCCACTCCTTCGCGCCCCCCCTTGCTGGTGGAAGTTGGGGGTCTTTGTTTTGTGGGGTGCGGGAAAGGCCCACCTGCGCGGAGTGGGCGCAAACCAGCAGCCCCTCGGCAGCTGCCGCCCAGGCGAGCACCAAACACCGCCCCGCCGGGCTGAGCATCACCGAGTGACCCCAGGGCCCCTGAGCATGCGACGGGTTCCCCAGATGCCACCGGCAGCTCTGTGGGCAGAGCACGGCTGGAGGCCCCCGACACCACCGACTCCAGAACCTCCACCCTCAGTCTCCCTTAGGGGCTGGAGACAGGCCCTCCCCGCGCACGGCCGGCCTGGGATCATTCCCGGCATCTCATCTGGTCCTCCGAGAAACGCCAGGAGGGGCGACTCCGGGAGCAGAGCCAGGAGGAAGCCCTGAGCACCGCGGAGCGAGCCGCCCCCACCAAGCACAGGAACAGCGGAGTCTCCCTTCTGCAAAAGCCTCCCTGGAACGCTGAGGGGTGGAAGGAAAAGAAAACCCAGACGGCGGGCAGGGGCAGGGAGGATCCCCAACACCCAGAGCTGTGCGCGGGGCCCAGGTGCCACCCTCAGGCTGCTGGAGGGGAGAGGCCCCACCGTGCAGTGCAAACACGGGCAGCCCAGGACTGTGGGGGAGGCGAGCGGGCGCTGGCCTCGGGCTGGGCGCTCTGGAGGCGGCCACAGCAAGCCACACGTCCCATGCTGACCTGACGTCAGAAAGCCGCTGCCTGCACAAGCAGGAAACCCACGGGCCTCGTTAATGGCGACTGTGAAGGCCGGCTTGTGCCGGACGGGCCCTGGCCTCCTTCCCGCTCCTACCAGCAAGGAAACAGCAGCCTGCTCCTGGGGGGCACTCCGGCAGGGCTGGAGGAGGGGGCGTCCAGGCCCAGCTTGAGGGGCCGCCCGTCCCACCCCGGAGCCCTCACTCCAGACGGGAAAACAGGAAACGAAAGCTGCACACTCGGGCTGAGAGGCGGATCCGGTGTCCTGGCCACCAGGCTCTGCTCAGGGCTGAACTCCTGGCAGTGCTCAGAGGACCATGGGGAGTGCTGGGGATCGACCTGGTTCAGCCATGTGCACGTCAAATGCCCGACGCCCTCTGCCCTGCCTGGGCCCCTCGTGTCTTCTTCGACTTTCGTTTTTCAATTTCAATTTTCTCTTCTTCAACCGTTAATATGAAAACTTCCCACACTAGGAACAGCTGCGGGAGCGATTCAGAGCTCCTACCCACCCTTCCCCAGACTCGTCCTCAGCCTTTGTCACATCTGTCACTTATGAAGCAACACGTACCAACCCAGCAGAACCTCGCTGCAGTCCTGCACTGTCACGAGAAGCCACTCCGGGAGCAGGAGTCACGGCTGCAGCCAGTGCTCAGGGAGCAGCCGGCAGGGCTGCTGCCCTGGACAGCGGCATGGGCCCTGCCGATGTGAGCCACCTCTGTACTCACACAGGACACGCCGAGGGAGTGGAGGACACTGGCCGGCGAGCATGGGGGGCATCACTGCCACCCTGTCTCACTGGTCTCCAAGGGCACCAACGGGGTCACAGCGGATGCAGCCTCAGTGGCGAAGTCACAACCCTGGCCAGCGAGGGTGCGCACAGAACCAGCTGGGGCACAGCCAGAGGCAGGGTCCAGGGCAGGGGACCAAGAGGCAGGGTCCTGAGAAAGGGCTCACTCCCCGCCAGGGGAGACGGAGTCCCACGGAGTCCTGGACTGCCTTGGCTGCTGCCATGGGCTGGGGGGGTGGGCCACCCTCCGTGGCCTGGGGCCATGAAGGTAGCAGGAGCAAGCACAGAGCGAAGGAGCAGGCAGTGGGCAGACAGGGCTGGGGCCACTGAGGAGCCCACCCACGGCCACGGCCACGGCCAAGACCTGGCTGGTCCCAGGCACAGCCTGACCGCACTTGACCTGCAGGCCTCACTCGAGGGCTGAGGCAAGCAGGACAGGAAACCTGCACCCACTAGGACCAGGACACCAAGTCAACTCAAGGGTCAGGGGGCACGGCAGGGGGACTCCAGGAAGGGACACACAGGCCCGAGCAGCAGGGCTGCCCTGGATGCCAGAGACCAAGGGAGCTTCCAGCCCACCTCTATGCCTGCTGCCCTTATGCTGATCAGCGTCCCATGCAGATCACAGACATGCACAGAACACATATGCACACACACGCAGTCACAGGACACATGTGCACACACAGACGCACACGGGACTCATGCACAGACACACACAAGACACACATGCACACACACACTCATACACAAACACAGGACACACATGCACAGACACACACAGGACTCACATGCACACACTCAGAACTCATGCACAGACACATATAGGACTCACATGCAGACACACACGAGACACACATGCACACACTCACATACACAAACACAGGACTCATGCACAGATACACAGGACACACACACAGAGGACACACATACACACACTCATACACAAACACAGGACACATGTGCACAGACACATACAGGACTCACATACACATGTACACATAAGAACACACAAGCACCCAGACATACAGAACACATGCAAAGGCGCAAGGCACACACAGAACACACATACAGAAGCACATATGTGGCACACACATACAGAACAGTCACAAATACATAGAGCAAGACAGAACATGTGTGTATACACACAGACATATGGGACAAGCAAACAGACACATGCCAGATACACACAAACGGAAACACATACACATGGGCACATAAAATTCATACACACAAATAAATGGGACACACATCCATCGGGACACAGACAGACACAGAGGCATACATATGCACACCAATATCACAGGATACAAATACATACGTACAATGGGACACACAAATACATGCAGGAACATACATGGGGAGATGCAGGAACACACATGGCAGACACAAAGATGGACGCTACGTTCACAAGACACAGAAAGACACACAGGGACACGTACACAGACACCAGAACACAGGGAGTCTTGCAGGAACACAGAAACGCATGAACAGACATGCACACGAACCAACACAGAGATCAGGAACACATGGACACGGGCACAAACACAAGACAGAGACTCAGGGACACACAGGGGCAGTCGCACTCACACTCCAGAAGATACGCACGCAGGGAGAAACGTGCGCGCACACGGGGGCACGTGTGCACACACTGCTGCCTGCACGCCTGCCCTCTCCATGGCCCCAGCGAGGTCCTCCCAGGCTCGGGTGCCAAGGAGGAACGGGCTTCCCTGGGGCCCGGGCACAGTGCCTGGCTGCCCAGTGGGCACAAGCACCTTAGGTAGGAGCCCTGGGTGGTCCGCGGCCTTGTTCTTGCTGTTCTGTTGGTTCTGGGGGACCAGACGAAGGGACGGAGAAGGGGGTTCATTGAGGACTGCCCTCCGGAGGGCACCTACCCCACTCATCCTTACCCCAAGACCCCAAGACAAGGGCAGGCACAGGGAGACCCTGACTCGGAACCTGCCCGGAGACCCCCGAGGAGACGGGACATCTGCTGGCCCTGACGCCCTTTCCAAGGACGCTCCCTGTTCTCGGTCAAAACCACTCTGTGACGGAGCAGGCCAGGTGGCTCTGGGGGCCTGAGTCCCCCGCTGACCTGCCGGCTGGTTCTCAGCACAGCTTCCCCAACCCCCATGCTGCCCACTGCGGCCCCGAGTGCTGGGGGCAGCTGGCTGTGCGCGGGGAGTCAGGGCGGACGCCTCGGGAGTGCTCCTCAGCCCTCCTCTCTGCCTCGGAGCGGACCCACCCGTCTGCCCCCCGAGGCTTGGCCTCTGCCCCGTGGGCTGTGGGG